CTTAAAATTAATAGGCTATTTCAATTTGATTTGATTTAATAAATAATTTTCATTGAATAGAATATCTAATGCAACCTTAGCTCTTTGTGTAACATGACAAATTTAATAAAAACACTTTTCTGAATTTTCCGACCATGTGCTCTAAGCAGACCAAGTGAAACATGATATTTTCAGACCAACTATGAGATGATTTCTGAATGGTAAAAATGACTTGTACATGTGGAAAAATGGCAGATTGGCAAGACTATTTTAATACTAAAACACAAATAACACAAAACATTTACTTACGTACACATGTCGACACATTCACATACATTCTCACACGGACGGAACATTTAAAAACTGACTCGTGGTGATTTGTGATTTTGTCTGACCGAGCGAAATTTCACGACACGGTTTTTTCTGGTGTAGGACTTATTAATTCTTGTTTTTTCGAGCTGGCGTTTAATGATTCAATTGAAAATACCGTCACGACGACCCGCGATTCGCTAGAAACTGACATTTGCTATCGATATGATGCATGTACGAATTTTCATCACGAACGCGAACAATCAATCCGGCATCTCAACTGTCTCGACTTAATACTAATAAAACACACCCCCAAATGCAATTCGGCGAAATTTTGACAATTGCGATCATTTGATGCACGTACAATTTTCGCCCGAACGCGAATTTCCGAGCTACGAATGAAGATATTAATAAATTCGTCCTACACCAGCGACAAAACGCGACTTCACATGTTGACTACGCGATTACTGAGCCACGAGTGACGACGAGACGTTTGCACACGGCACGGCTCCCAACGGTCTTCCAGTTCGTATCCTTCCGCGTTACGTCATGTTGGACTGACTTGTCCATTGCCTGTCGCGGATTTTAAATCTTTTGATTTCAAAATCGGCACAGAAATCTCCCCTGCCAAAAAATTGGCCCGAGCGACCTTCAGGTCCGCACGAATGCCTTTTCCATTCCGGGACAATTTCGACCCGGCGCGACGACGCTTGACGTGGCAACAGACGCTTCATTCATACGACACATTTTTTTGTTCATTTTTCCATTGATTTACATTTAATACATTTAACACGAAACAATTTTACACATAAACATTTGAAATTTGAATAACAAAAAATAGAAAATCTGAAACTTTAACAATAATAAACATTTTGCTTTGAGGTCGGTATTTGAGAAATAAAAATTGTTGTCAACTGACACCTTGCATCATAAACCAGACTGCATCAACCCATCAACAATTTGAATGGTGAATACGCGCACGTAATTCACACTTTGGGAATCCCAGCATTCAGCGTCGAGTAGATGTCAACAGTCAGTTCATTGACCGTGGTGCAGTCGAGTGTCAGCTGTTGCCGATGGAGTGGGCGGGGGCGGGGGACATTGTTGTGAACGGCCCGCTGTCTGCCTGTCTGTACGGGTAGGTTCTACTCTCGCCCCACCACAGCTGGAACGTGAGCTCTGTTCGTCATCCTTCATGTCGCTCACAGTGGTTACATAATATGACTCATGATGATTCATTGTTTCTGAATCATCAATATAACACAAATAAATAAACAAGTAAACAAACACAGAAATATCAATGCAAATCAATAGGATAATTGCCTTAGAGATAACAACTGATACCCTTATCAATGCCAACCTGCCATGGTAGTAATGCCAATCTGCTTCCTTGTTACCAGACCTCTCAAATATTAGTGCTATCACTCTGATGAAAGATTGTGACGTGAATTGACACTCTGTAAAACTGTAAAATTTGCAAATAATAAAATATTGAAATATTGATTGAAAATATCTACCGGCTAGTTACAATTCCTCATCCCTATCCTTCAAATTGTGTTTGTGATTGTTGTGGACGTCCGAATTTGTAAGTAATTGTGTTATTTATTATTATATCTTAGAATTCAGTGAGTCGCACATTGTAAATTTTCCTGTTATATTCTGTTAGTTCATGTCAAATAATCACATGTTTCCAGGTTCGAATCCAATTCACTGATTTTTATATCCATTTATAGTGTAATAATCTGTAGTATATTATAAGCTGTGATGATCCAATAGTATTAAGAATAAATAAATGAAAATGTTTTTGTAGGGTAATTCAGAGTTACTTTGAAAGATTTTTATATTGTTGGAATTTTTACACAGTCATTATCAAATTTCATTGTTGAATATTGAGGTACAATTCATTTAAAGAGTGTCACGGTCAGTATTTAATTTGGGGGAGATAAATTAATATCAAAGGAGGGAGCAGGTAGCTGGTTCGGCTAGATGCGGAAGTGTTGTCGGAAGTTGTGTCAGTTTGAACATAGATGAACCGCCAAAGTACCAAATTAGCTATAAAATAATTATGCAACATTCTGATAAAACTGCTACGATTGAACACAGTACTGTTTAATCAGTGGTACTGCGAGACGACCTTCGTTTTGATCGTTGGCCAACGAAAAGGATTTGCTTGGTACTGGTCATCTCAAACAATAAATTAAATATCACTCTTCCGTTGACGGTTTCGATATCAGTGTGAAACCGCACCGTATCTTCCCTTTTGATAAATCTGTTCAACATTTTCAATCAAACGATTCACAACTGATTGTGTCACTCAAGGTCATTTTAAGTAAATAAACCACAACCAGCAACTCTGTAAATTGAAATCATTTATATTCATTGTCATTAATTCTGTCCAATAAATCAAATTGTTACTCATTTTCTAGTTCTCTATAGCCTTGGTAATTCATCGTTATTAATATTATTCAAACATTGAAATAAAGGTAATCCAGTAAAACAATAGGCCACTACAAAAGATTCACCTTTTAAGTGCAACACTAAATATCAGTGTGGTAGTGAGCAAGTAAATTCAGTGTAGAATTAAGATTGGTAAATATTATTACAAAAGGTAACGCAGTCTGGAAGAACTTCAAACAGTACCAAGAACGTCCCCTAAGGACCTTTGGGAAGTGTTCTTATTTTACAGGGACCACACAATTATTTATTTAACATCAAGCTTCCACTGCCAAGCTCTGTTTTGTATTTTTATTTTCCAAGTTCTTCCAACCTAGGGGCAACCAAGATTTGTAAAGAATTCACTTTGAGAGCATTGCAAGGAGTAAATATATTTAAATACAATATTTAAATATATGAGAGTAGAGTTTTTTAATTTTTTCTTTACAAATAAATGGCACAGACTGTTAGTTACCCTCACTATAAACAGTAAATACACTACGTTCCAATTAATTACATATCTGATAGTGATGTGCCATTGCGAGATGTTACAATAAAAACGTTTTGATTGATTGACATCTCGAGATGTTTAGATTATATTTAGCGAAAAAGTACATAAAGTAAAGTTAGAATTTGACAATAATTTTTACACTTAAAAACCACTTGGAATCCCAGCTCCTCATCAAATGTGTTATTGCATTGTCCTCCATATTGTATTTGTGTTTAACTGATGATAAAATCTCACCCTGTAAAATTCAAAACAAAAAGGGAAAAGAATATAGGAATGCTGATTGTTATTGTTACTGCCATCGTTATTTACCTGTTTGTAAAACCAAAACGACAGTTTTTACTACTGGTACATGCCTTACGATGGTGTTGCTGTAATCTACATATTTACAAAGAAATCATGTTTCAGTATATGACGTTAAACACTCAAGTACGGTTCATAAACCTTTCCCTAGAATAAACTACTGAAATCATAGTTTGCTATTCGGTATAAATAGATCTTAACACCACATTCTAACCATGTACTTGCTGATGTACAGAGTGAAGACCTATCCAAATGTAAGTTTCGTTTTGATGTGTTTGGCATTTCATGGCGGACTACTTGAGTGGGTTTATGTAAATTAATTAATAACAAACTCTTATTTTAAGATAAATTTTACTATGTGCGATTTTTATTTTGTAGTACAGCCTGATCACAAGCAATAGTTTCTAAATTGCATTTTATTTTGTTAAAACATGTTTGAAGTTTGTGAAACAATAAATAAAATGGTAAACATAAATTGATACTTTACATATCCTGGGTGGAAACATTTCTTAAATAACTTCAGCTGATCTTGAGGAAAAAAATTGAAAGGGTAGTATGTTAGGCTTTGTGGCCATCTTGGATATTTATCATCTAAAAATATTTTTTCAAACACCAAAGTAATAACAATTTAAATATCTACGACCCTGTGAGATTATTAATATTAAAATGTATTAAATGTAATGTAATAGTTTATGTAACGTATTAAGTAATTTCAGTCTAAATTACTAAAATAAACACAGCTTCTTTATTTATGAACCGATTTTATTCATTTTTGTTTTGTTGGATTTGTCATAATAAATACTAAAACTTTTGTGTCTTACAAAGTTTTGATTTAGGTACCGGTTTTCATGAAATTTGGCATTAAAAAATTCAAACGGCCGCCATTTTGAAATTTGGAAAGTTAAAATAATAATTTTTTTTTATAAATGTTACTTACTACAAGGATATCTCAAAGGGATTTTGAAATAATAAATATTTTCCCCAAAAAACAAAATGGCGGATTACGGCTAAACTAAGCCGAAATCCAAAAAAATTTATTCTTCATTTTTTACTTATTTTTGCATGTAGAATTAGGTCCTGTATAGCCCATCACACTTTTTTGTGACACCCTGTATAATGCACTGTGGGATTACAAATTGTTCTTTGTAGTTTTTAAATTGTTTTATGAGTTAAAACGTCTAAGTTCCAAGGACTCTTAACTTATTATCAAACTTTAAAATATTACATCTATTTAAATACGGTTAATTATTATCAAACAAACAAAATAACCCACTGTTTGTTTATATGTTTATTTAGTTGAAGACATCTCACAGTAAAGTAATTGAAAATGACAATTAAAATAAACATTTGATACAATTTGCTAAAACAATATTCACAACTAAATCAAAGAAAACAAAATGAAGTGTGGCTAGCGATGTACAGGACAGGTGATTGGCATTGGCAATGCTTGGGGAAGCAAAGCCTAGAATAGAATCACACGGTATGCAGTATCTACTTTTTGCTGTCACAGAGTTAAATTAAAATGCAACATTGTGCTTCCTTCTTGACCATTCTATAATATAGCGGAAATATTTGGCGGGTAAGTAGTCTAGTTTACTGAGCAAATTTGTCCTCTAGGGCAATAAAGTTGGTCTCGGCATTGATGCGCTCCCAAAAAAATAGGAGGGTCGTTTAGTTTCATTTACTGGGGGTGGTTGGCATTTCGGATATTGGATGGTTGTGGATAGGACCTTCCCATGTTCATTGAGTTGTGTTGTTGTTTTTGTTGTTGGGTTGGAGATGCTGGATCTCTGTAGTATTGCCAGTTTGTTGCTGTGTTCCCAGTTTTGTTAGTTTCAGTGTCGTAGATCACTAAAGTAATGTGACAAACATCCCAGGTCTGTGTACACAGAATAGAGGGGTTTTTTTTTTGAGTAGTCTGATAAATTCAGGAGTCTCACACTACAGGCTGACCACCTGTGTTCAGTAAAGCATTTTTACTTCCTCTCCCTCAAAGAAAAATGTCGTTGATCAAAATTAAAAATTGTAGAACTGTTTTAGTCTTCTTTTTTTGCGTAGGATGGTGTTTGATCCATTAATCAATGTTGACATGTTTGTATTTTAGTTAGCTTTCTTGTACTTTTTAGCTAATGGTTTTAAGTGAGTTCTGTGCAGAATAGTGAGGGAATCACAAAAAGTTATTATTTGAGTTGGGTCACATTTTAGGTGTTTGGCAACCATTAAAACTGTAAACAAGTTGTTGGATCTTGAAAACAATTTTTAGATTGTTTAATTGCTTTCAACAATTGAAAGAGAAAAATGTTAAGTTTTTGTCTCTGTTAATGGTTTGAAACCTTTATTCCAAAAACATAATCGTGTATAAATATGTCAAATTAAAATATTTATTTGATCTGCTTTATTTTTGTATATAAAGGAACTGAACAGTTAGTTATTGTTTATACTTATAATATTAATTTTAGTTTTAAAACTATTTGATAATTTCATGTTGTAGTTGTTTTCTATGCCACTTTATGCAAATCAAAATGAAAAGGTGGCAATACCCGCAGACTGTCTATAGTGGTCCTCGATTATCCAACAGGATTACACGTTTCGGTACTCTACATTACCATCTTCAGATCCTTATATCCAAAACTTGAATTTTTTGACACAATGTCACTTCACGATTTTTAAACAAAGTCACTGACCATTAAACCACACTATTTTAAGTGATAATGTAAACGATAAATGATAAAAGCTTGTTACGGTCCAACATATTATTTGAAACATTAATAGGATTAGACAGAGACAGAAAGGAATGATAAAGGAAGCCGAGGGATCAAAGTGCAGCTAATAGGACAAGATAACCTCCAGTCGTGATTGCTCCTTTTTTGTCTCTAGCTTTCAATTCGTAGGTCTGATGTAAAGTTCATTCTCATTCGTGGTTTAATGTTTTGTGACTGTGTTTAAAAACCGTGTCGTGACATAATATATCAAAAAATTCAAGTTTTGTATATAAGAATATGAAGATGGTATAATACCGAAACGTGTTATCCTGTTGGGTGATCAAGTACCACTATAGGTAGTCTGCAGGTATTGTAACCTTCTTATTTTGATTATTTGATAATGTTTTAATATGTGCTTGTTCACCCCATGAGATTTTGCCAACATATTATATTGTTGTATAACAGGTTTTGTTTAAAGTCTAGAAATTGAAATTTAAAAAGATTTTAAACTGGTGGGGTTGTATCAAATAATCAATTCAAATAAAATAATCTTTATTCAAGCTGTAGATACATATATGAATAGAGTAATAGAAACAAAAACACTAACAAGTACATTATGTTTCTTATTTAGATGATTTTATTTACATACATTGCTAAATCTATGCAATACAATCCTTTATTAATTATGTGTATTTAATATTAATTTAGTTAAAAATCTTTTTACTCTTTTGGTTGATTACATAACAAAAGGGCTAAAGACAAGTTTATTAAATTCCCTCACTAGTCACCAGATCTTACAACTTGTATCTGTTAGTTATTATTGTTATTAGTTTTTACTATCAAGAGATTTATTTGCTTGTTACCATTAAAGTGTGTTGTTTGTTGGATTTATTTTCAAAATTTTAATTACTTATTAATGTTTGTCATGTATCATTTTTTAAATCACTACTTTGTAACCTCAGCAAATACATATTTCTTTACGCTTATGATTGTTTTGTAAAATTGATTGTATTGAACACAAACAATATTAAATGCGTGTTTACACACTATGATGAAACATACAACTATTCTCAAGGACAAAACGCTTAGTTTTTCCAGATATCGCACTGTGCTGTTTACTTGTTCTTCTTTTTACAACAACCTCTTACATGTAATTTAGTAATTTATGTAATTTAGTGTATTACTGTCAGATACATCAGTTGGGCTTCTAGAATTCATTGCTGGATCAACATCATTCAAAGTGGAGAAGTTTGAAGTTCCACCACAATACAGGCATTTAAACTTAATCAGCACCAGCACCGGATTTGGGGAACATTGCCAAGATCCTTCTTGTACAATGTTCTTAATGAGTTTAATTTCTGTACAAGAGTATAGACCTGTCTGCAGGAGAGTCGGAAACTCGCAAGAGGCTTGAAGGAGTTCTAATATTTTAATTTAGTGTGAAAACCAATTGCTCACTGATAAACAACACTAAAAACAGCGCACTACACAAAATTAAAATAACATTCAAACTACACTGTACGAAGCGAATACAACAAAACTGAGGCCTATAGGATGCAACGATTTTTCTGAGCCACTGTATACAAGCACCGACCTGTCAGTGCAACCTCAAGAAATTGATGGCGATTCACACCAATGTTAATCCAACACCAATTCCGACATGACAGTGTCTTTTGGTTTACACATTCCCATTTGCTTGTAAGGATTTATCGTTGCAGACAAATCAAAACAATCCAAACTGTTAAAATAATCAATAAACTAATGTGTGTTGTCATTTTAGTTTCCTTATGTCCAAAACAAATCAAACAATTCAATTACAAACTTTGACCCAAATAATAAGTGTTTAACTGTACACTATCACAGCTATAAATCTTGAAAACTGCCTTCTGTCTGACTGATATTAACTTTTACAAATGATGAGATTAATGCAATGGTAACCCAACAGTCATGTAGTTTATTTAAGACTATGGCAACATTATAGCTTAATAATATCAGGCTACAGTTGGATTTAAACTAGAAGCAGTTGAGTTATGGCATAGACTAACCAGCACAAGTAGACTTCTCATCCCATTGTAAATTTTGAAGCTCGTTTTTCGTCTCTAGTTCATGTACGGAGACCACACTGGACACTAGTGTCAAGGAAATTGGCTTTATTAAATGAAACGTAATTATCTACAACAACAAATCAACTAATGAATAAGTTTGATTAAATATGCGCCTCGAAATTCTAAAGTGATTGCCTTAAATAGCAAGAAAATAAGAAATATTTAACATCAAACTCTACTTTATGATACAGAACCATACCTTGCTTTCAGATAATCCATAAGGATAGCAATCTTTAAGGAAGTATTTAAAATGTATTTTTATGTTAGGTGATGAATTCTGCATCTGGAGACTAAGTTAGACAAAAACTGACCACCAAAATGGATTCCACAAGGAAGGATTTTAAGTTTGACTGGGTCGAGTACTCCACTGTTGCTATGATGCTGCTTTTCTCAGTTATGATCGGAATTTATTATACATTCTTCAAAAAACAAGACACATACACAGAGTATATGCTGGGAGGAAAGAAAATGGGAGTGTTTCCCGTTTCTATGTCTCTTGTCGCAAGGTTTGTATGATTAAACTTTATAATTAGTGGTTTTTTATCTATCAGATCCATCTATCTATCTATATTAATAATATGCTACATCAAACTTTCTGAACAATAAAGCTTTTTTGTTTTAAGAACATATTTGTTTACATTATGATCAGCTGGATAATCTAATTGCTGTTAATATTTTAGTTGCAATTTTAGGAAACGTGTGCTACAAGCATTTACTGACTTGGTGGACATGAAATATTTACTACCTATTTGAATTCGGGCTGGCGTAAATATTACAATGGAAAAAAGCGAGAGCCTGGACATTTTGATATATTAAAAATAAAACTGAATTTTGTACTGTAACTGCATTTCTTGAGCAATCATTGAAAGAGCCGATTTGCAAACTATGGAAACGTAGGAAAGTCATAGAACACCACCAAGTAGAAGAAATAGAAATAATGTTTTTTTTTTAGAATTTATAATCATTATTATGGACAAGCTAATGCGGCTAAGTGGGAAACATTTGTAGGAAACACTAAAAAAGATCAGCTTTTGAAAAATGATAAAAATGATTGCTATTTAGATATTACAAGAAATGTTGAATATATCAAACTGTTATGTACATCGTGAGTATTACCATAATCTTTGAGTCGACTATTTTAAAGTCATCGAAAATGATGACTGTTATTAGTTTTAAAATAACGCCTGTAATACTTCGCAATTGCTCAAATTAGATCAACAGGTACACTAGTTTTAGTTTATTTTTTACACTCTGGGAGCAAATTTTCATTTTGATACATAAGTCTATATAACCTTAGCAAGGGTTTTCAGCAACTCATAAGGTTTTACATTCAAATATATACTGTAAGTGTAAAAAGTCCTTCAGTCAGCAGCTCTCTACTTCACTATTATTCAAACAGTGCTTTTTTGCAATAACAACATGAATTTCAACAAATAGGTATGGACTAGAAAACCAAAAAGACATATTTATTTAATTCCAATTTTCTGTATCTACGCCTTGGCATTTTATAGTTTTTTTTTTTTTTTTTTTTAGGAAATGTTTCAAACCTGGTCTTTTTACTATCTACTGTCTATTTTGTTCAATAGCTTTATTAATTGATTGCCCAATGACTAATGGTATATTGATGTAGAAATGATAGAAATGGCACAATATATAGTAACAATGGTAATAATAAACTATAAACAAAAAAAACTTATATTGGGCCGATGGTGGGATTTTTGTTTTGTTCTGTATTTAGTTAAAGAGTCTATCCTCTAAGAAAATTTCCTGCAGGGGCATACCATTACCTCCCTTGCATTCAATTACTTGCTTAGCTTAACTTTAATTTTATCTGTCTGTGTCGGTCTTTGACACATATCTTGGATTATATAGAGACATTTAGAAACTATCCTCATGTCAAAAATTTACTCAGAAAAAATATTTAACCTCACAAAGTATCTATCCTAAATATTTAGTTATTCTCATTTTTCAGCTTTATTTCAGGCATTACTCTTATGGGAGTTCCTGTGGAAATATACGTATATGGAACACAATACATGATAAGCAACATCGCCAATATCATTGTATTTTCTGTGACTGGAATCTTTTATTTGCCAGTGTATTACAAGCTCCAACTCAACTCAGTTTTTGAGGTAAGAATTACTCATGTAAAATTTATACATACTTGGTAATAAAAATATATTTCCTATAAATTGTGCCAAAATAAGATTTGAACAGTTAATAAGCGTTTTGATAAAGAAAACATACAGTACTTATGAATGATTTTCTATGTAAAATTCAATGTTTTTTGTAATCAACAGTCTTCTATTGTCATTAATTTCCTAAACGAATGCTATAATACTCATATCTTTGTTATTTTGATACAGTATTTGGAGCTAAGATTTAGTCGGACTGTTCGAATAATGGGTTCACTGATGTATTCGACTACATTGGTAAGAGTAAATTTAGCCTACTTGTATTGAATAAGTTTATACAGTATTATAATTTTGAAAGGAAACAAATTCAACATATTATGATGTGCTCAAGATAGGTTAGGGTTGGAAAATTAGGTACAGCAAACAGTCATTAACAAAGTAGGGTAATTAAGGATTAGTTATGTTTGCATTGTTACAAATGTTGACTCTGTTACCTGACAGTATATATTGTTTAATGCTTGATTTTTTTCATCTTTGATCAACCTGAATGGATATATCGAGTTAATGATACACTAATACTTATCAAAAAGAAATATTAAGTACAAAAAGTAACCTGCATTAATACTAGTTTTATTTATTTATTGTTTTAGATATGTTGAATGTAGTTCAAAGTATAATTTAATTAATAATTTTTTGTTTCCAGATTTTATATTTGCCAGTTGTAATGTATGTTCCTGCTCTTGCATTTAATCAAGGTAATTAACTGAAATTTAAATTATTATTTTTAAGGTGAGAACGCAATTAGGTGTACTGTATTTTACTTTTTACTCAAAATGAATGAAAGATGGATGGTGTGTTTTGTGTCATTTTTTATCTATTCAGATACCTCTATATTAGCTTATACGGAAGGAACTTGGAAACTGAATATCTAACAAAACGCATAGAAGCATTTATCAATACAGTAGTTGTGAGAACACTACAGTATTGCCATAGATTAAACAGTAAACTTGGTTTTTACCAACTGGTTTGAAATGAAACTAACATGTCTTGTTATATTAATTAATTGTTCATAATTCTTACAAATATATTATATTTGCATATTGAAATAAATCATACTAGGAGACCATAGCAGCAATTGTTGCTTTTTAGTTATGTATTCAAATCTATATACAGGGTGTCACAAAAAAGTGTGATGGGCTATACAGGACCTAATTCTACATGCAAAAATAAGTCAAAAATGAAGAATAACATTTTTTGGATTTCGGCTTAGTTTAGCCGTAATCCGCCATTTTGTTTTTTGGGGGAAATATTTATTATTTCAAAATCCCTTTGAGATATTTTTACGAAACTTGGCAAAATTGTTTACACTATAGTAAGTAACATTTATAAAAAAAATTATTATTTTAACTTTCCAAATTTAAAAATGGCGGCCGTTTGAATTTTTTAATGCCAAATTTCATGAAAACCGGTACCTAAATCAAAATTTTGTAAGACACAAAAGTTTTAGTATTTATTATGACAAATCCAACAAAACAAAAATGAATAAAATCGGTTCATAAATAAAGAAGTTATGTTTATTTTAGTAATTTAGACTGAAATAACCTAATACGTTACATAAATTATTACATTACATTTAATACATCTTAATATTAATACTTTCAGTCTAAATTACTAAAATAAACACAGCTTCTTTATTTATGAACCGATTTTATTCATTTTTGTTTTGTTGGATTTGTCATAATAAATACTAAAACTTTTGTGTCTTACAAAATTTTGATTTAGGTACCGGTTTTCATGAAATTTGGCATTAAAAAATTCAAACGGCCGCCATTTTTAAATTTGGAAAGTTAAAATAATAATTTTTTTTATAAATGTTACTTACTATAGTGTAAACAATTTTGCCAAGTTTCGTAAAAATATCTCAAAGGGATTTTGAAATAATAAATATTTCCCCCAAAAAACAAAATGGCGGATTACGGCTAAACTAAGCCGAAATCCAAAAAATGTTATTCTTCATTTTTGACTTATTTTTGCATGTAGAATTAGGTCCTGTATAGCCCATCACACTTTTTTGTGACACCCTGTATTTAATTGAAATTAAATACACACATTTAGTCTTCCCCTAACACGGTACATTTCAACACTGCATTACCTTTCTAACCAAGAAACAGTACACTAAAGTCAATAAACATACAAATACACAATGTTTACACCACTGGTAGGCCTATATTTAAAACAGCTTATAGAAACACTGTAGCAGTAGTTCCATTAGAAAATTGGAATGCTGTCTTTTAGTCAACCTAGGACGGCTAAAAAATCGCCTGTAATTTAAAAATTGTATTTACCTTTAATTTTTTTTATTTATAGTTTCAACACTACCGGTACACTTACTTACATTTTATGTAATTTTGTTGTTGTACAAAATAACAAAACTTGTATTATCTAAACATCTAGTGATCTTTACATCAACAATAATATAATAGCTATTTACATTACAAGAGTAGTAGGTGAATGTTGTGCAACGAGCGGAATCGAGTGATGAATGTGAGCTAAGTGATGTAAACACGCTCTTGCGTAACGTGTAACGTACAAGATTTTACCTGACCCGACAATATACAGAGGGTCACGTACACTATTTTTCATTATCCATTTCACTCATCTTCTAACAGTAACGTTCTTTTACAAGCTAGGTTAGGAAAATTCTATAAGCATAAAAATAAAATTCAAGCGCACAGCTGATTTCTAGCGTTGAACGTCGTTGGCTCCATAGAGATATATTTTTTTAAGTTGAGCACTCGATGTTACTTTAATGGGTTTCATTACTTCACCGAGTGAGTTTTTTTAAACTTTACTTCACTCTTGAAGTAAAGAAGTTGTATACATCACGCTTGGGTTAGGGATGTTTAACATGGCGGGTTGGGTAAAATCAACATTTCTGTAATACACAGTTTTATTTTCAGTTACAGATGTACCTGTTCATGTCATAACACCGATCATATGCATATCCTGTCTATTTTACACTGCTTTTGTGAGTACCATTGTAGATTAAACATAGGGTAATCTCTAATCTCATATACATTGTTCATCCATATGGATAAATAAATACTGACAAAGAAACTTTAATACTTTTTTTACTTTTTTACCATGGAATTCTTCAATTTGTCTTTCCTAGCTAAGATGTATATTATACTGTATATTGCAGTTTCTTTCTGTAATTCGCCAAAGATGAGTCATAAAGTTGTAAAAAAAATTCAGTACAATATGTTCTGGCATTAATTTAGCCATTACATTTTAGATACTACTTGAGTAGACATCCCTTTTATATGGACCAGCTGTTGTCAACTTTTAATTCAAAAAGATAATTGAATAAGCCACACACAGAGTGCAATTAAGTCTAAAATTTTATTTTCTCACCTAAATCCTATTACGCCTACTGAGATTGTTGGATGGATATAAAGATGCTATAGCATACAATAAGTCGTCCTAAAAGATTGAATTGGTTTAAAGTAAAATGTATTTGGCAGAAATCAGTAATTGACAAAAACACTTATTTTTGGATCGGTTCAACCATGTTTATTTTTAGTCAAAAACTAGTAATAGCTATTTACATTACAAGTGTAGTAAGAGCGTTTTTACATCACGCAAGTGAATGTTGTGCAACGAGCGGAAGCGAGTTGCATAATTCACCTAAGTGATGTAAACACGCTCTTGCGTAACGTGTGACGTAAAAGATTTTACCTGACCCGACAATATACATGGGGTTACGTACAATATATTTCATTATCCATTTCACTTATCTTCTAACAGTAACGTTCTTTTACAAACAAAAGCTAGGTTAGGAAAATACTTTAAAGCATAACAATAACATTCAAGCGCACAGCTGATTTCTAGCGCTGAACGTTGTTGGCTCCATAGAGGTATATTTTTTAAGTTAAGCACTCAATGTTATTTAAATGGGTTTCATTACCTCACCGAGTGAGTTTTTTTTTACTTTACATCACTCGAGAAGTAAATAAGTCGTATACATCACGCTTTGGATAGGGAAGTTTAAATGGCGGGTTAGGTAAAAACTCTAACATGGGGATGAAATGTCTAGTTATATCAGTAGTGACAGATTTGAACCTACTGTAGTGAAATATAAGATCTCTTTTTCACAAAGCTAAATCCAATTTTGAGTCAATCTTCATTTACTCTAGTAAATTGGGAAATCCATCAATTGGATGGAATTCATCAATAGGATGGAATTCATCAATTGGATGGAATCACTATTGGATGTTTTGATGGAAGAGCCATTTAAGAGCCATTATTTGAGCAGTATTTATATCAGTATTTGAAGATGGATATTGATGGCTTTCATGGATCACATAAGAATGAATTACTATTTTTGCCTTTTTTCAGGGTGGTTTGAAAGCAGTATTATGGACAGACGCTTTACAAAACACATTCATGTTTCTTGCTGTGATATTCATTCTAGTCCTGGGGTGCAACAGAGTAGGAGGTATACAAGAAATCTTAAGAATTACCAGAGAAGGCAGTAGATTGGAGTTTTTTAAGTAAGTATGGGATAGTGATATCATAGTGTTTAGTGATGGTTTGGATTGTTTACAGTGATAGATATAATATAGATATTATAGATTGTTGAATATTTTGAGTTAGTCTGAGCATTAAAAACTCTTGCTAAATCAGTCACCAATAGGAACCTCAGATTATTATCAATATCTTTAAAAAAAAAATTGTTTATTGTAGCAAAAACAAGCCAAATACAAATTTTTCCACGAGTCAAAGTTAAAAGATGGGCTTTGCATGTACGGTATAGTTAAAAGCTTAGTAATGTAGAAACTGCACAAGATAAATTATATTATTCTATTTCTCTGAAGCTCAAACTTTAAATTGATTTACGCCTAAATCTAGTGATGTCTCTAAAGTCAAATTTAACCAAGAACAAGAGGACATGTGTGGATGTTGCACATTTTTATAGGGTTCAAAACTTGCAATGTGACCACTGCGGGCTTAATACTCTAATTATTGGCCGAATGGGAGCTAAAAATAATACAACACGGTCCAGAACATCTAATATTAATACATACTTCAAAATACAGCTAACACAAATAACAAATGAACTACCCACTATCTGTTATTATCTGTTAATTTTTAGATCATAATTTAACTTGTCAAATATTTAATTAATTAGATACTAGGGGACAGGAAACATGGCAACCTGGGCGCTGCCCCGCAATCAAACACACGTACTTCTACATTGTACGACTGGGGCTGACTGACTGACCGCAAGTTGCTTCTATGTAGCGCTGAGGCACCAACCCGACCTGAGCGAGACTGCTGATGATCAGCAGTCTACAAACAAGTGTGAAGCCACTGCCTTATTCTAGCTAAATAATTTTACGTTCAGCTATTCAAGGAAATCACCATCGGTTTTCTGGGCTCAGGATTATGAGCATTCAATTGACTGGCATCTGGATCATTCTATTTATTAATAAACTAGTTCCATTGTAACATATCCTGGGTGTCTATATCAAAGGAGATACACATAAAATAATTGTTTTGGGAGTGGGTCGTCACAGCAATACCCTTTTAATTTTCAAAGAGTACGATGTTTGCTTAAGACAATTACTAGGCGAATACAACTACTAATTTACAATCAAATAAATTTTGTTAACTCTACACCATAAAGATTGATTACTGAGTGAACAGCTGTTACGATTCACTTGAAATTACAGCTGTTACAAAATTACAATTCGCATTTAAACCGTTATTAAGTTAGCCATCATAGTTGAATTTTAGAAAGTGGACTTTCTCTATAACTCGATCCAAGCTTAAGACTGAATAACAAGTACTGTCACTGAAAGAAAACTTGTAGTCCAATAGATTTTAAGTTAGCGAGAGTCGTATATATACAAAATATAGTCATGATAAATTCTCATTTATATGTTTTTGTTGCAGTTTGGATCCAAGTCCATTTACTCGCAATACTTTCTGGAATGTTATTCTGGGAAACATGTTTATTTTCCTAACAAATATTGCAGCCAACCCTGGTTCAGTGCAGAGATTCTTGTCTGTTCCATCACTGAAGAAAGCTAGACTGTGAGTAAAAAAAACAATCCACGTTTTGACAGTTTTCAATGTTTCAAAATTGGAGGAATTTGCAACAAGATCAGCAACTTGAATAAGCACAATTCAAAATACTATACAGCGTGTATTAGAACTTGTTAAAATTTTGTTTATTTGTTCCTGGTAAAATAGAAAAATATAAAAACTGCTTCACCGACTGGACTAAAAAAACACAAAGGTCATGGACTGACACATAAACATATTCACCTCCTTAAAATTCCCTCCAGCTAGCTGCTGACTGTGGACGTTTAAAGATTTGAGATGGAATTGTAGGTAGTTCTAAACACATTGTTAATTTCTCTGGGGCAACAAAAATAACCAAATGTTGGCATTTGCTTTACTTTGTTTATAAAAATATAGCTTATTGATCAGCACAAAAACTCTTCTTGACTTACAAAAACTCAATTCCAAGTATTCTGTTCCTACATTTAACTTCCCAAAAGCTAAATCTCCCACACCAGTTTAACAAGAAATTTTTATAAAACGTACTGCTAGTACAATAAAGTACAATTAAATCCGTATTACTTTTCTCACAGGGTGCTGCTTGTGAGCTGCATTGGGTTCTACGCTATCAACAATCTCGCCATGTGCCTGGGACTGGTCCTGTACGCCAGATATCACGGCTGTGATCCTGTAGCAGCGGGGGTATGTGGACTACTTTATGTATTACATTTCTTATGATTTATTTAAAGAATAAGAATTCCGTATTTGTCATTAACCATTCAGATATACAGTGACATGTATACAGATGCTTCCAGTCAATCTGAAGTTTTCACCCATCAAAGTGAGGATTGTGCTACGGCTCAAAACAGCTCAGTGCCGATGTAAAAACAACAGGATATAAAGTTACTATTTGATCAACAGATGATCAAGAGCCACACGCAGATGATGCCGTTGTATGTGATGGAAGTGGGAAAAGACTACCCAGGGTTGGCAGGACTGTTTATGTCTGGCGTGCTCAGCGCTGCTCTCAGGTATTCCAACATGTTCTCATCTTATAATAAAATCCGAAGCCTGTTTGCACTCTCTATTTTGGTTACGCTTTAGTGTACTAAAAATCCACAAAAATGTTTCTTTCATTTTTGATAATGGTTTACAATTTTTTTTACTATTTGAATATAATGCCGGTAAAGGCATAGTTTTTGTTTTTAATAAGATTTTTATGTTTAGTTTGAGTAGTTTAAGTAATATGAAACAAACTAAAACACGATAGCTGTGAGGTTTTATTGCTCACCTAGTAATCATAAGGTTGCTCGTTTGATTCTGAGATTTCAACAGTTTGAAACTGGACCCAGATGACCTTGATGGTTGGGCTTTACTTAAATGGTCCTGACAAAGGAAACAGCTGATCTTAGTAACAAAGCTATCCTTTAACTAATTTCACGCTCATTCTTCACTCATCTTTGCCATAAATACACACTGGTGTCTCAGCGTCATATTAACTTAATATCGTCTAATATATTTTTAAGCACCCTCTACATAGCCTGAAACATTGAACTTTATAATTATTTTCAGCTTATAAGGATGATAAACCTACAAGGGGGGATGTTTAAATATCTTGCAGGGGGTAAGGGTATGTTGTTTTAACATATTTACTATCTTTTAAATTTCATAGAGTAAGTGTGGAAGTATCAACAAGTGTTGGAAGGCCTGTTTCTTTAGGCCTATATGTTTACATGTTTATTGCGCAAACATGGGAAATAGTAATCTATAAATCGTAAGTTTTTGTTCATCCTTATTTTGTTTGCAGCACAATGTCCTCATGGCTGAACACCGTGGGAGGAACACTGTATAAAGACATCAAGGAAGTATTCTTTCCCAATGTTGAACATTCAGAGTCAAAACAATCTACCATCATCAAGATCATCATATTGGTACTGGGGGCCTTGGTGGTGGCTCTAGTGGCTGTTGTGGAGAGCCTTGGAACAGTGCTACAGGTGAGTTTATATATATATATATATATATATATATATATATATATATTCTAATCTAATTTTGAATATTTTATTTAGTCAAACATTGCTAACTTGACCAACGTTAATTCAAATTATGGATACTTGAGTTATTTTCAATACTTTTGGAAAAATTTGTTAAGTTGAAACTAATACCGTATATAAATTATTGAAATAATTTCACAATTAAATTTTACAAGTTGAAGAGAGACCAACTCTGAAATTCTATTACTCAAACTGTTGTCATCAGACCTGTATTAGTCAAAATTACAGCATCTAGGTATTTGTTAAAATGTGGGACTTTTGTATGGGATGCCATGTTTCTGTTTCCGCCAATCAACAACGACTTAAAGCCAAGTGATAATGCATGGGACTTAGTGATTCAAGCCAACTTTAAGCTGTAGGTTTTTCCATCCAAAATAAGTGATAGGTCCTTGAGGCAAGAACTTTATCTTAACTGTAGAGCTTCCTCCGTTTACAGTTATCCAGTTGGATGATTTAATGATGCTAATTAAGTATATTTAGTGGCTTTATAAGAACAAAGCTAATCTGATTTTATGTTTTCTTTGTAACTAGGTAGCAAACAGCTTGCTGGGTATCATGTATGGATCTTTCTTGGCATTGTTTACAGTTGGAATATTCATCCCACGAGTTAACAATAAGGTAAGTTGATGATTAAGGTAAGACAATAAAAAACTATTGTAAAATAATAATCTATTAAAGTTGGAACAACCATTTATAACATAATTTTTGTATTGAAAGCTGGAGCAAGCTGGTCTAGTGGTAGAGTGTGACACTTTGATCACCAAGTTTCCGGGTTCAAATCACAGCAATTGCCAATTGATTTTATCGATGTGATAGTACCGCAATATCTAGGCTTATTACATTAACATATTATTATGTAGGCTGTTTTTACATTACCTGAAGTAATGTAAAAAAAATTCCAAGCGCAAGTTTAGTGAGAAAAAATATAAAAAGAACTATTATTTGAAAGTGCCTCAGGCACAGAAATCTACCCTAATTTACTCCTCTAAACATAACTGTTGAATACTTTCATATGTCTGACAATTTTGAAATTATTTTTCAGGGAGCAATTTGTGGGACAATAGCCAGTCTTGTACTAACTGGGTGGATTGTTTTCAACGCTCAATACGCAGTTTTACAGGGAAAACTTAGGTTCCCTGGCAAAATTACAAGTATTGATGAATGCCCACGAAGTGTCATTGACCACTACTAGTAAGTATTGCAAATATATAATTCACTCGTCTACCAACTGTCATACAAACAACTGCATGTATCTTGGTTGTTGTTTTTGCAGGGTAGACTCATCTCTCCTGTTCAACCACACAACAGTTGGTACTCCTGTGATGGCTGATTCCTCTCTGTCACTCATCTACCAACTGTCATACAACAACTACATCCTGTTGGTATCACTGCATGTATAATGATTATTGTTGAAGTGTAGACTCATCTCTCCTGTTCAACCATACTACAGTTGGTACTCCTGTGATGGCTGATTCCTCTCTGTCACTCATCTACCAACTGTTATACAACTACTACATCCTGTTGGTATCACTGCATGTATCATGGTTATTGTTGCAGTGTAGACTCACCTCTCCTTTTCAACTACACAACAGTCGGTACTCCTGTGATGGCTGATTCCTCTCTGTCACTCATCTACCAACTGTCATACAACAACTGCATCGTGTTGGTATCACTGCATGTATCATGGTTGTTGTTGCAGTGTAGACTTATCTCTCCTGTTCAACCACACAACAGTTGGTACTCCTGTGATGGCTGATTCCTCTCTGTCACTCATCTACTAACTGTCATACAACTACTACATCCTGTTGGTATCACTGCATGTATCATGATTATTGTTGCAGTGTAGACTCATCTCTCCTGTTCAACCATACAACAGTTGCCACTCCTGTGATGGCTGATTCCTCTCTGTCACTCATCTACTAACTGTCATACAACTACTACATTGTGTTGGTATCACTGCATGTATCATGATTATTGTTGCAGTGTAGACTCATCTCTCCTGTTTCAACTACACAGCAGTCGGTACTCCTGTGATGGCTGATTCCTCTCTGTCACTCATCTACCAACTGTCATACAACAACTGCATCGTGTTGGTATCACTGCATGTATCATGATTATTGTTGCAGTGTAGACTCATCTCTCCTGTTTCAACTACACAGCAGTCGGTACTCCTGTGATGGCTGATTCCTCTCTGTCACTCATCTACTAACTGTCATACAACTACTACATCCTGTTGGTATCACTGCATGTATCATGATTATTCTTGAAGTGTAGACTCATCTCTCCTGTTCAACCATACAACAGTTGCCACTCCTGTGATGGCTGATTCCTCTCTGTCACTCATCTACTAACTGTCATACAACTACTACATCCTGTTGGTATCACTGCATGTATCATGATTATTCTTGAAGTGTAGACTCATCTCTCCTGTTCAACCATACAACAGTTGCCACTCCTGTGATGGCTGATTCCTCTCTGTCACTCATCTACTAACTGTCATACAACTACTACATCCTGTTGGTATCACTGCATGTATCATGATTATTGTTGCAGTGTAGACTCATCTCTCCTGTTTCAACTACACAGCAGTCGGTACTCCTGTGATGGCTGATTCCTCTCTGTCACTCATCTACTAACTGTCATACAACTACTACATCCTGTTGGTATCACTGCATGTATCATGATTATTGTTGCAGTGTAGACTCATCTCTCCTTTTCAACTACACAACAGTCGGTACTCCTGTGATGGCTGATTCCTCTCTGTCACTCATCTACTAACTGTCATACAACTACTACATCCTGTTGGTATCACTGCATGTATCATGATTATTGTTGCAGTGTAGACTCATCTCTCCTGTTTCAACTACAAAGCAGTCGGTACTCCTGTGATGGCTGATTCCTCTCTGTCACTCATCTACTAACTGTCATACAACTACTACATCCTGTTGGTATCACTGCATGTATCATGATTATTGTTGCAGTGTAGACTCATCTCTCCTTTTCAACTACACAACAGTTGGTACTCCTGTGATGGCTGATTCCTTTTTGTCACTCATCTACCAACTGTCATACAACAACTGCATCGTGTTGGTATCACTGCATGTATCATGATTATTGTTGAAGTGTAGACTCATCTCTCCTTTTCAACTACACAGCAGTTGGTACTCCTGTGATGGCTGATTCCTCTCTGTCACTTATCTACCAACTGTTATACAACTACTACATCCTGTTGGTATCACTGCATGTATCATGATTATTGTTGCAGTGTAGACTCATCTCTCCTTTTCAACTACACAACAGTTGGTACTCCTGTGATGGCTGATTCCTTTTTGTCACTCATCTACCAACTGTCATACAACAACTGCATCGTGTTGGTATCACTGCATGTATCATGATTATTGTTGAAGTGTAGACTCATCTCTCCTTTTCAACTACACAGCAGTTGGTACTCCTGTGATGGCTGATTCCTCACTGTCACTCATCTACCAACTGTTATACAACTACTACATCCTGTTGGTATCACTGCATGTATCATGATTATTGTTGCAGTGTAGACTCACCTCTCCTTTTCAACTACACAGCAGTTGGTACTCCTGTGATGGCTGATTCCTCCCTGTCACTCATCTACCAACTGTTATACAACTACTACATTGTGTTGGTATCACTGCATGTATCATGATTATTGTTGCAGTGTAGACTCATCTCTCCTTTTCAATTACACAGCAGTTGGTACTCCTGTGATGGCTGATTCCTCCCTGTCACTCATCTACCAACTGTTATACAACTACTACATCCTGTTGGTATCACTGCATGTATCATGATTATTGTTGCAGTGTAGACTCATCTCTCCTTTTCAATTACACAGCAGTTGGTACTCCTGTGATGGCTAATTCCTCCCTGTCACTCATCTACCAACTGTTATACAACTACTACATCGTGTTGGTATCACTGCATGTATCATGATTGTTATTGTTGCAGTGTAGACTTATCTCTCCTTTTCAACTACACAGCAGTTGGTACTCCTGTGATGGCTGATTCCTCTTTGTCACTCATCTACCAACTGTCATACAACAACTAAATCGTGTTGGTATCACTGCATGTATCATGATTATTGTTGCAGTGTAGACTCATCTCTCCTTTTCAACCACACAACAGTTGGTACTCCTGTGATGGCTGATTCCTCCCTGTCACTCATCTACCAACTGTCATACAACTACTACATCGTGTTGGGAGCCATGACAGGTATCACAGTGGGTGTGTTGGTATCACTGCTGTCACCTTGTAGTGCCACATCTATCAGTCCTGATGTTGTTTCACCTTACGTACAGAGGTTTTTGCCTAGTCACTTACGAATGTCTCAGTCAAGTAAGAATGAGTATGTTTTGAATTGTAAATTACAAAGTTCCTAATGTTGTAGGTATTTTAGTTTGTATTACAGTATGTGTCATATTTTTAAGCTTATGTATTAAAATCACTCCAAAAACTGGAGTATTACGTAAAAAAGATTTAATTCTAAAGTGCCAATATCTGGGGAATATCTTTCTATCATTAGCATTTTTGTTAACAAAATTTAAGTCATTTAGGTCTATCTTTTTGATCAGTGATAGTCAAAAGTCTTCTGGCACATTCCTATCTTTGCTAGTGACGTTTTGAAGATAACAATTTTTAATTTCCTTTCCCATTACCTGATTATAATTGATAATTGCATTATTGGACGCTTGTTAATTTTGTCAAAATTCTGTCTAAAGTTATGACACAGAAATCGTGTGAGTAATCTTGACACTATTAATTTTCCATTATCATAACCTGGCAAGTGAATAGGATTTACAAATTTGAGTTTTGAGATTCAATTTTATGTTTGTAATTCGTTTCATTAACCATCACTAGTTTGTATATTTATGTATTTTTTAATACAAACACTGTTCAATTTGTATTGTTCCAGTTCAAATGTGTCTCTATTATTCAACTATACAGGATATGGTAGTCCAGTTATTGCTGATATGTCTACACCTGTTATTTATAAACTGTCGTATTGGTACTACATTGTGCTAGGTTCACTTACTGGTATTGTTGTGGGATTTATTGTTTCTTTATTGACTTCAAGTCCTGACATAACCTCGCTCAACCCTGATCTTTTCTCTCCGTATGTTTTTAGACTTACTCATGAAAAACACTCTGATCAGTGTAACCAAGAATTTCAATTGAGTAATCGAGACAAAACTGAACATATTCACGAGGCTTTGTAAAATACTACCTATAATTTATTTTTAAGTAATAGGTAGTTTAAAGGAAAGCTAAGTGTCTGATTAGTTTTTGTTGAAAAGGGAATAGAGTTCAGCTAGCTTACCTGAGAAATTTAAGGGTCCAGAGGCTAATGGATACACAATAAAGAACACAAAACATAACATTGCTATTTTGTCTCGATTATATTTTACCTTTACTTGCCTCCACCATCGATATATAACTACTGGATTGCGCGCTGTCCATAAGCACTGTGGTTTGAAATCCGGTCGCACACACGAGTGTGATGCGGGAGAGTATCCATAGACGCGCAGGTGCTGGGTGGGCAAGAACTGAGCGACAACCATGCGACTACATACAAACACTGGCAGTTTTTTTAATATGATTTGATTAATAATTATGATGCGTAGTGTAATTAGATTGTTTTTAAGTTTCCTTTGTTGTAAATTATTACTTTTATTGAAATCCCTTTACAAGTTTACATAATTATCCTCCTTTATTTCCCACATTTAATTTCCCGCCTTTTAATGCCACATGATAATATAAATAATAGTCAGACGCGCGAATGTGTGATTTGGCACCCTGGCTGTTTGTATTGACGTCTGCTACGAGAAAGACTAAGTTTTTTTAAATACATGTGATAACTAGTGCATAGTTTGTTTTTAAGTTTCAAAATGTTAATAAAATACAATGGTTAAGAGTTGCGCTGCATACAATTGAACGCAAAGATGGAGTAGAGGTTGCAACCTTTCTTTTTACAAGTAAGTATTAAATATTAATTTGGAATTGAATACTTGGAAATTTTCCCTTATAGCATATGAATTTTTATTTATTGATGTTATTGTTACGAATTTGTCAAACGAATAGAGATAACCTTTACTAAATCAATCCAAGCCTCTTTTAATTAACTTAAAAAAATACGTTAACAACAATTCTTCGCACAAAAACACTACTCTATCTTGCAACCTTGCTAGATGCACCAATTTTTTTGAAATAACAGTGGATCATAAATTAACCTGGAAAACTCACTTAAAAGACGTCATCAAACAGCTAAAAATATATAGCATATTTTGTAACTCTCATTCATTCTAGAACAGGTGATATTTCCACTCTTATGATTATGGATATGTGTATCCTTATCTTAATTATGGAATAATATTTTGAGAGAATTCCGAAAAAAGGAAAAAAAATTTAAATTGCAAAAAAGAATCATTAGAACAATTTAGGCCTACTCTATCAAAGCTAGGGGTTCTTGTGAAAATACATTTAAAAGAAACAATATTCTTACCTTTCCTAGTCTGTACATCTGTAGTTTGTTAATATTTATGAAACAAAATATTTCAAAATTTTCTGTTAATTCGGACAGTCATAATTATAATACCCGACACAATAGCTGCCTTTTAATTATACCCTAAACACAAATCTTCAACTTTAAAATCTTCTCCCCGCTATTCTGGTGTTGAGTTTTATAATAACCTGCTGATTCGAATAAATCTGCAGCTTCCCTTAAATCGTTTAAAAAGCAGTTATTTAAGTTTTAATGCAATAAATGCTGTTTTAAGGTAAATGATTATTTCCACTGACTCTTGTACAGTATTTTTAAGATACGTTTTGTCCCTATTATTGTATTGACACTATTCGTGTATTTATGACTTATGTGCAAAATGAATAAAGGATAATTTGATTTGATATTCCTAAAAGGAGACAACAAATAATTAATTGTTGCATATGGAATAACTACAAGTATGTCGGTATGTGTGTACGGTACAAGTATGTATGTAATTAGGCCTACATATTATTATTTTTTTTTCAAGATCACCTTGCGAAAGGGAAACGGTAGAAAGAACAAAAAAGTCAAACTTAGGATAAAGGCAAAAATTGACAAAGACCATTTTGTTTTGTAACATGTGATGTGTGTGAGCGTTTAGTAATCGTTATAAATACAGTTATGTTAAATAAACACTGGTTTTTTATTCAATTTTTTTTTATTTCATCCTACTACTATACAAAATTATATAAGTGATTGCAACCCATGTATTTACAGATTTAAACAAGCAGAATCTAGTCGATAAACAATATCATCTTGTTAATTACGGAAGAAACCCTTGAGAATAATTGTTAGTAGTACTGTTATGTTTACTCATTACATTGATTATGATTGAGCATGTCAAGAAGATAAATTATTTGAAAAAAGAAGTCTCTGAAAACCTATTTTTTAGGTTTATTACAGCTTAACATATGCCGCGACAATGCAGAAGCAATACGCTGCGTTGCGCTTTTGCCCACTCTCACCCTTCATTTCCTTGAACGCAACCACTGCGGGCGGCTCGGGCAGCGGAGCGGAGCTGCCGATCCAGTAGTATATATCGATGGCCTCCACTTGATTTTACCTTTAAACAATAGCTCAACAGCTGAGGTTTGTCAAAACTTCAATCAACTGCAACATATAACTTAAGCAAAATAAGTGTTGGGGAACTTCCCCTGAAACCGTCTAAATTTTGTGTGAACGGACTAAAATATAGGACTTCTTTGTAGAGTAGCTTGAAGAGATTTAGTTAAACTTAAAAATTTGAGTCAACTCATTAGCCCCAAAACCCTTACCTATCTCAGGTAAGCTGAACTATATCCCCTTTTCAAAGAAAAACTATTCTATATTTAAGTTATGTGTAATATTTATTAAATTTTACTATATACTATAAATCGTTCGAGAGAAAAATTGTCAAACCAACATCTATATTAGAGTAAAAGCTTCAGTTTGATATCCAGGCCGACTGCAAAACTAGTGTTTGATACATTAAAGTAAAAACTGATAGGGTGAGATGCTAGCCTAGTGGTTAGCGTCTCAGACTTTGGTGTGATTTCCGGCATATCCACTAAACAAATGGACCGCTTTCCCTAAAGCCGCCACTGAGTCAGACATTGCCTTTTCCATTTGGACTTAGCGATACTTGCAAACATTAAGACCAGGGCATAAGAACACTTTTTAAAATAACATTTAATATAAGGAACAAACACTTACACAGTCGTAACAAGTATAATACTCAGAAGTAAGACTTGAAGAACCATATGAACGCGAGAACCCAGAGGGCTGGCCTTCTCTCTGGAAGCATGGCGATGTCCAGTGAGAAGGGAGTCCCAAGCTGGTACAGCTGATCTTGCTCACTGCGTAATGTTTCTCGTAGCGTCTCGTTTGTGGTAAATATTGCCATTTGGTTTTCCAGATCTCTCTTCACAGATCTTGCTCCTAAAAAATTTTAGATAGTAAAGAGGTGAAATATACACAGTGTTTTTATAAAACACAACCCTAATTATTTAAAGTAAAGAGTGTTTCTGTATAGAGACAAAAACAGCTCATAAGCTGGCAATCCTGCATCATTTGCTTCATTACCAATCAGCTGATTTGCGTTGTTACATTGTTGTCTGTATGGTTTAGCGTTGCTGTAAATTCATTCACAAGACTCAACATGGGTTTCTTTCAAACACAGCCCATGCATTTAATGCACATTAATGAAATAAAAAGAACTCCATTATTCATCTTTACACTTTTTATAGCCCCTAGTTGATTTTTTAGGTACTGAAAACTTAATTGCGAACCTTTCTTGACATAAATTATGAATATTTATAAGCATGCACTGTGGATGCCATACTCCCTGGTGTGGATTAACGTCCGCACTAGTGAGTACTACGACTATCTGCAATTTTATGCTGATAATTAGACCAATTTGTTAATACCAAGGCAAGAATGTGGTTCGGATTCCACTCTAAACTGTAGGTCCCTTAGTTGCCATTAGCTGTTTGGGCTATTAATTAACAGCTGTGTCTAAGGAATATGTCGGCCTTAGTCACTAACAAGACTACAAGATCGGCCACTCATCCTACACTCAACCTTCACTCATATTTGGGTTAAAATACGCACATAGTGGCGTCCCCATCTTACATAATTGATAATTGATAATTGGTAAACTAAAATTATTTTTAAGGTTACCTTTTAGAAATTATTAGTCTTAAACGAGGCATATTTCTTTTTATAGGTAGTGTAAGACATAGTATTATGTTATACTTTGTGCTTGCAATGATTAATAAATATTTAGTTATTGATACATTGACTATTTATTTATTACTCTGTGAACAGTGGATGTTTAGGTACTTAACTTTTCCTTTTTGCAACTGAAATAAACTTTAAGTAGTTTGGTGAACCTTCCTAATGCACGTGTACTCTCAAGCACGAGCACATTGGGAACTGCCTAGATGTATTCAAATCTTGTAACTTTTAATATTTGTATTTGTATTTAATATAAGTTGATCAGAGGGTAAAAATAAGAGTGAGATACTTCCCTCATAATATTGGGGACGTAAGGTGGTCTAGTAGTAGGTGAAATTAAATATTCTTTTTATTTTTACAAATGATCGACAATGTTATGAAACAGGTAAAACTATAATTATAGCTTATTGGGCTATTATAGTTAATGAATAAAATAATTAATAGACAACTAAACAAAGGAGACATACAATATTTATGTTTAAATATCACACTAAATAATCTTAACTAGTTGCTCTGCCCGTGCTACGCTACGAGGTGAGAATGCAGAAAAGAATAATTTGCTTTTACTATAAGATACTATAATCTATAAGTATAAAAGAGGATGTTTGTATATATATATATATATATTTGGCAGTGATAAACTCAGACACCGCTGAACCAATTGCCACGAAACTTGGTACATACGTGTAGAATTTCATGGAATAGGTTTATACACCATCAATTTCGTGATCCGTCCAATCGGTTCCGCCCCAGTGGCTCTGGAGTTTCCCATGCACACTATGAGAAATGGAATTAATGAATCTTAACAGCTGTTTCAATTAAACAAGTTGGTTCTGTTCTATGATGTTCAATAGCATTTAAGTTACAAGGATTACCAACAGGGTGCAGCACTATTATTTCTTTTCCATTTATGACAACAGCTAATTTGCAACCAAAAGGTGAGTGAGCATAGCGAACGAACTTCAACCTGGAGGCAAGTTAGCGTAGTGAACGAGCTGACCTGAAGGCAAGTGAGCATAGCGAACGAGCTAACCTGAAGGCAAGTGAGCGCAGCGAATGAGCTCCAACCTAAAGGTGAGTGAGCGTAGCGAACGAGCTACAACCTAAAGGTGAGTGAGCGTAGCGAACAAACTTCAACCAGGACGTGATTGAGCCATGCGAACGAGATTATCTTGAAAATTAAGAAGTTAAACGGGGCAAAGCCCGCGGGTTACAGCTTACAGGGTTGGTACTGATTTTGGAAAATGAAATTCCCTGACTTTTCCAGGTTTTCCAGACTGATATTATACTTTTTCCAGGTATACCGTAAGACGATATCGAATAGTCAGAATCAAGAATTATTAGAAAAAATGTAGGCCTAAATAGTTTACTCATAAAACCAATAAGAAAAGAATTAAACATCAGGAATCTGGAAAAGTAAGAGTACCAACTAACTTAACCTCACACTTTATGTTCTACTTGGCCTTGACTTGACACTGGCAGATAGACGATACGGTGTTTCTGATACTGACATATATCGATATTTTGCTTGCGATATCATCGGTTTATATTGGAAGAAACATGTGATATTGGAAAAATAACTACCATGCTTGTACCGGAGACAAAAAGTAGTACCAAACTAAACTATTAAATGTTTCAACTAACAGGATAAATATTTTTTTATAAACTCCTACAAGTGCAGTTTTTTTTTAGTTTATTAAAGGTTGAATCAGTATTGGTATAAATTCAATGAGGAATTGTATTCAGTATCGTATTGAAATTGAAACGATGAATGTAGGCCTATCCTTCCGCGCATTACGGTACTAACTAGCTCGGTGCGTTCAATTAAAGCCAGTAATCAGAGGGTGATGATAGAATGTATGTCGATGTTCGATGTTTTTTATATCGATGTTTTTGTCAAACTTTGATGTTTTTGACCAAGTATTGAGACATAGATGCAAAATGTAGCATATCTGTAAAAAATGTAGTCTTTCAAGAGAAATTCCAGATTTTTTCCAAAATTCCCTGACTTTTCCAGGTTTTCCAGGTTTTCCCTGACCGTACCAACCCTGTAAAGATTCTGAAAAAGTTGTTAGCTGTCGTCTCTCGAGCCTTTATTAGAGATAGCTTTAGGGATCACAGGACTTCAGTGCTCGAGGTCCCAAGTTCAAATCCTGCCAATCACCACAGGATTTTATCTAACTGATAGCAGCAACCTGTTGGGTCCAGTTAGAACTAAAGTGTAAAACAGTTCTGGGGTAGAGCGTAGCGTCCTGGGCAATGAAGGTGGGACAAAATATTTAAACAAGAAAACATTTACAGATAAACTAAACAGCTGGACTTACCAAAGTTGGAAGACCCAATGAGGGTGCAGTGAGGAGTGTCTTCCCCGGGTGGCGTGATCCACAACCCCTTGGCGTGGTAGGTCCAGCCCGGTCGCTGGTACTCGGACAGAGACACACGATGAGTCTGTCCCGAGGAGTGTGCGCCGCGCAGGAACAGCTTGGCAAACTGAGTGTACGCCCCGGGGATGCCTCCCGCTAGCCCAGCCGCTGAGAGGAACCCATTTGCCTATGAGACAAACAACACATTTTTTTCTTACCACATTCTGCAGGCTAGATTCTAGCTCGAAATCTCTTTACATATCACTTCAGGCTAGGCTCAGAGGGTGGCGGTAATATCACTTAGATGAAATTCATTGGTGATGTGCGGGATTTGAACCTGGGACTTTAAGATACCAGGCTCGCACTCCTACACAGACAACATAAGACTGTTAGTAATTGATTGTATATTTGACTATTGATAGTCCAAAGCTTGCGGAACTAGAAGAATGTTTGTTTACCCAATGAGTTGGATTAGAATAGAATAAAACAGTGAAATTAGCTTAACTCTAACTTCTGTGGCAAAACAGTTTTTGTTTATACAATCAATGCCAAAATAATGTTAGCTGTTGAAATATAATTTTGAATGATTTGCATGTTTTTTGACAGTTCTTGTCATTAATTTAGAACATCAACACACAAAGTATTTTGAGCTGGCTAAGAATGCAAGGTCAATGTAGAATGGTGTGAGATGACATGTATCTATGTTACTACGTTATGTACCAGGCGTATATTTAGGCAGGATAATTTATTAAAGCCCAATGATCGGGAACAGCTGGAGGATCATCTCTCCCGATCATGGCCAAATCAAGAAAATCTTCTTCGGTCACAACGATATCCAAGACATCTTCTGCGATCATGGCAGAATTGTAGACATCCATTGTGAGCACGATGAAATCGAGATCATCTTTCCTGTTCATGGCAATACCATGGAAATCTTACACGGTCACGGTGAAATTGTGAAAATCTTCCCCAATCACGGCAAAATCAAACCTATGCTGTGGTCAGACTGAAATTGAGAACATCTTCAAGGTCATGGTGGTATTGTGGACATTTTCCGCAGTCCCGGCAAAATCAAGAACATGTTGGAGCAGTTCATTCTATAGTGTGATTAATAGTAGTAAATAACAGTTCAACAAAGAATATCACTTACTGTCGGATGAGCCATCAGGAGATGGTAACAGGCTTTGCTCTTATTCAGGATTGTATTGATGTAGTCATCAGTCAGGTTGAAATATCCTGTAGCCAGGTTGACTTTGGCACCTTCCTCCACAGCCTGTAGAAGCTGTCTAGTCACAGTGCTATCCTGAGTCACAGACAGGGGTGGCAGTCCTAGCAGTGGAAACACCCACGTGTCCGCTGCCTCATCTGTAATGTTGACCTCATTCATACACTACTTTTAAGAACAGTTTGTCAATCTAACAGAATTTATCATTGACAGGGTGGCCACAAAACTACTGGAAAATAATTCATACCGGGTTTTCTCGGTCAGCAAAATGTTGTTTCCTGGTTGCCAAGTGTACCTTTTTCCTAGGGGTCTGCAAATCCTGGATGTTTTCAGGTTGGGCCAAGCAAACAGTTGGTTCAAGGAATCCTTTCGGGAAAATAATTATTGGACCACGCTCGGGTGGAGGAAGATGAGTGGACCCTATATTTTTGTCAACAAAAAGCATTTGCCAAGTGGCTCCATTGAAAATTTAAAATTTAACGGGAAATCTTCTGTGGGAGACAATGTTGTCACCGTGACTGCAGAAGATGATCACGAGTTATTTGTAACCTCGGAATGTGTTCATGATTTGGACATGACAAAGCAACTTTCATGACAAAGCAACAAAACATGACTTTCTTCTGATTACCAAGCAAGCACTAACTACTCAGCTACCTACCATGTTGATTTGTAAGTTTTCCAGCTGCTGCTTTGTCTATAGTTTGCAGGTAATAACCCCACACAGTGTCCCTTGCCTCCGACTCATAAACCTCCAGAGGCGACTGAAACAGCAAATATCAATAAAATAGTACAATATAATAAAACTAGCTAATAGAAAGTATGATTAACAAAGTAGCTCAGTGAAAGCATCTTGCACTGATAACTAGACACATCAGGTTCAATACCGCATCCATCCAACCGGGACTATGGATCACACCAAGTTATTTAAACACAAACCGCTACTTGCCTGGTATGGATGTAGTTGAGGGTTTCGTGGCGTCAGCGTGTTTTGTTCGTCTAACGTCAAAGAAACTGCACTAAGCCGCTCAACCAAGCCGAAGTAGAAGTCTGCGAGTGGCCGACACTCGGAAATAACAATGTATCTGTCTTGACGGTTGGTGAAGTAATCATGACTGAGATTGGCTCTGGAAACAACAGTTTGGTTAGTTTGCAATGTCTAAACAGTTGAGCGAATCTCAACCCAAAGGCTGATAAATCCGATGCAAGATTAACATAACGAAATTTCCATTTGCTTAAAAATAGCTGTATATAGCTGTATATAGACTTGTGCTGCGACCTAGGAGTAATGCTTAGAACTACTGAGCTTGGGATTTTTGTTGACAAGAGTTGTTAGTGAGTTAGAACGTTCGGTCGATGGTTGGCCTCTCCAGTAAAGATATTGGAGACGATGTTTAATCAAAAAACACTTTTAATTTGAAAACCCAAAGCTGACTCGAGATTAAGATTCAAAATGAGGGGGGTCTATGACCGAATTCCGCCGTTTAATAGGGTCTAAAACACGTTTCCGAAGCAAAATGAATCAAGTGCAATACCCATTTATCTTTTCAAGATTATCCTGTGTACTCTTATATGAGCAATGTTTGCTTGTATGCTTGCTTGCACAAAGATCTCAAAAACTGCTTCGACGATTTCCTTCAAATGTTGTAAATAGTTAATTTCTGGCCTAAAAACGTGCGTGATGCAGTTAAAACTGCAAAAAGAATCTAATTACGTAAAAAAAGAAATTGAAAGTCAAAACTTTTTAAGATTGGCCTTATGGGTTACTAAGTAACCACTTGAAAGTTGTAACATGTGTTCATAATAAGCCATCCACCCACAGTATACTAGCAAATTACAAAATACAGTACAAAAGGAAAAACATCAGTTGTTACTATTGAGTAAAGATTACACTGAAGATAACACGATAATATAGGTGAAAATAGTTCCAAGTTCCGATAAAATACTGATAATCTAACTCTCTCCTACCAAAACTTAATTCCTAAAGTAATCAGCTGTTTTAATTTAAACAAAATTTCAAAACAATGTTTATGCAATTATAGGTTATTGTAAACGAGCGGCCCTTCATCGACTGTAAAATAAATTAATGTCTTGAGGATTGCCAGGTTAAAATTTCCATCATAATACATTGAAATTACACTGAAACTTACATAATAAAAGGCAAAATTAGTTGTAAATAAAACGTGAGTTTCTTTTATATTGCTTTTCCAATCGAAATTAACTACACCGAGCCATGGCTTGGTCCCCAGGTACTATTTGTTTACTTTTTACTTTACACTTTACACAATTGCCATTGAAGCGCCGTCAATGAGTGGAAACCTTGTTTGTAAGCTATTGGCGACGATCATTAAGTGTCCCAGCCATATACAACACTGATTCAAGGTATTTTTTCTGGTTATCAAAACTCAAGAACAATTTTATACACAAAGAATTTCTGGTTCCTGACCTGGATGATGCCTGGTTATTTAATTTCATTTACGGTTACACTATAATATTGCACTTGCGATTAATTAAATCCGTTAGGTAAGAAAAACGTTTTTAATCTCACTTGGTTGGGATTTGCTTTCAAAACGTGATTCGAAATGGTTAAGGTATTTGTAAACAACATTTGTAAACATTTTAATGGCAGCTAGAAAAAATAATCTTGATCCGAACAGCTGTTCGTTATTTCATAGACGATTATGTGATAAAAATTGAATGAAAATTTGACAAAAATTGCACAAAACTGCATTTTTGAACGTCCGTATTTTATTTACAGAGTAGTGAGGCCATATTTTAATCACTAAAGACACTCTCGCCAATCCAGTGAATACATTAAAATGACTTGGATCTTGATAGGTACTCTCGTTTTCACGGAGAAGATTGCATAAAATGCCATCTTGAGTGTTACAGACAGACAGACATAAATAGAGATAAGACTCGTTTCTGCTTCTTTAATGTATACAACGTAAAAATAACCTAAAAATATATAATTCTGAGCAATGTACAGACAAAACTCTAAATTTTTTTATATAGATTAGTTTTTGTGACTTTAAATCAAAATTGACTCTTCTACACCAAAAACATAGACATGTCCGGACAAATCAGGATTGGGCAAAGGGAATTGTTATAACCAGTTCCACGACATAGTTAAAGTGTAAAAAAACAATGGATAAGAGGGAGGAAGAGGCTGTAAAAAATTGTAAATATTAAATATAGTGCCATTTAACATTTTTAGTGTATCTGTTTCATCAGTTTAGTGTGTGTATCAGCTTAATCTGTAAGTAAAGTATCCTTGAATTGAATTGTGTGTTTTTTTTACATTTTTACTATAGACGTCATTGAACTAGTGAACGGTGACCGGCAATTATAGACACTATTTTTGGGGGGAAAAAAGCTTAAAACACCTGGATCCTAACTTCTGGGAACAAAAGGTAAGATTTTATATAAAAAAATTTCAGGCTTTAGAAGCACCCACTGATATTTTCACCGCATGTGTTAAAGTGTCTATTGAGTTGAAATCCTAGGGGAAAAAACTATCCTTGTGAAAAATAATATTTTCCCAGGTATTCTTGTAATTATTTTTTTTCAAATTCACATAAAACCATTGTGTATCACCTAGGATACATGCACGGGTAGGAACATCATGTTTAAAGACCCATAAAGTGTTTGCGGAGATACATAATAAGTCAAATTATAAATTTGTTTGAGTGTACACGTGTTTCCTAGACTTGACACAAGTGTTAAGTTGAGTGATTAAGTGTTGTAGCTGACGTTGAAACACGCGTCAAATGTTGAATTAAAATACATAGTCAAACCATTTTCTAAAATTTTTTGTAAAGATGATGCCAATTATTCTTTAACATAATTTAAAATTGACAATGGCTACCAATGAAACTACTACTGCGCTTAATACAATGCTACTGAAATTGCTATCATGCTTAATGGCGTTGCCATGACACTTTTACTCAAAAGGTTCTTCTGGTTTCACAAGGCTACCAATAACTGAAAATATGTTTAAAAAAATTATATTATATTTTTACAACTATCTTGAACAATATTAGGTGTTAACCTAATCAGTTCAGTTCAGTTCAGTTGGCAGTTGAATATATATTATGAGGATCAACCCTTCACTCATCATCATTTTTTAGTCATTATTGACACACAGCATTACAGAAAGACTGTAAACGGTAAGTCACAATTTATAAAAAAAATTATGTTTTAACAAAATATATTTTTTGACATACTGCAGCAAAAACAGCCGTTTTTATGCATGTGTTGCGGGTCTTAAGTAGCATTTTTACTCTCTATGGAGTAAAAATCATTTTAGTCTCTAGGGAGTAAAAATCAGCTGTTGTAAACAGTTGTAATTTTTGATTGTGGCAATCGTATTGATCAAAATTATTTATCGATTGATTTATCAGGTAAGGTCTTAGGCTATTGTTGTCAATTGCTCAACATATCGATGGTAGACTGTACTGTAACAGAATCGTAATAGACGAAATTATTGGTTCACTTACTAAACAGCTGCTTATTTGCATTAGCAGAATTGGAAACAATAGGAAGTCGTTTTGACTAGTTATCTTTACATATAAATTATTTTGTTTTGTAGCTTTGTTTGTTAATTAATTATGCAATATGACAAAAAATTTAGTTCACTACACGGGCAAAAAGTGACTTTTTAACCCTCGCTCATTTTCCGACCTCGGCTTTGCCTCGATCGTAAAACTTGACCTCGAGTCAGAAAAAAGTCACTTTAGGCCCTAGTGACAAAATATACTATTAAAAGTCCAATAATTCTAAATGTTCTCAATGTTATATTATGTTTTTCAAATGAAGGAGTTCTCCCTTAGTTTGACTTTAGTAGTCCCATGTGATTAGGATATACGAGTGGATGATTTCATCCTTAATAACTAACTGTGCTGTTTGGTATTTTTGTAATTGTTATCATATGTTGCATATTTGATGTTTGTTTTGATTCTATTGTTGTTTTGAGCTTGAAGACTTACTTTTGGGATCTTGGCTAATAAAGTATCTATGTTTAACTGTGGTGTGAGTTTTACCTTTCACTTCATGGTGTCAGGTTAAATAAACTTTTGTGGAGAAGAAAGAACTAAGAATGGCTGAAGCAGTTCGAGTAGTACAGTTAGTACAGTTCAATACCAACTTGTCACACCTGAACCTTTCAATTTCAGGGAACCTTCTGAATGGCCTAGATGGATAATAAAATTTGAAAGGTTTAGATTAGCTTCAGGATTAGACAGTAAGAGTGGGGAAAATCAAGTTAATATGCTTTTATACTGTCTAGGAGATGAAGGAGAAGACCTTCTAACATCTTTCGGATTAAAAGATGAAGAATTACAGAGTTATGACACTGTCAAGGGTAGATTTGAGTCTTACTTAGGTTTCAAAATCAATATTGTATATGAGAGAGCTAAATTTCTAAAAAGACGTCAGTCTGAGGGGGAACCTGTTGATTCTTTTATAAATAGTTTACACAAACTGGCAGAGCGATGTAAACTTGGGGAATTAAAAGATGAACTAATTAGAGATTTGATAGTAACTGGGGTAAATGATGATAAACTTTCTCAAAATTTACAGTTGGATGAAAAATTAACCTTAAGTACAGCAATTTTGAAAGCAAGACAAGCAGAGAGTTTAAAACAACAACAAAAAGTAGTGAGGGAATCACCAGAAATTGAGTTTGTCAATAAGAGGATTAATCAATCCACTAAACATCGGTTGAGGGACAGTTCTTGCAATAAAAGTCAAGATCAAAGCTTTTCAAAGAAAGGTAAATGTAACAAATGTGGATTTGTTGGGCATCACAATAGCAATGGTTGTCCTGCCAATGAAAATGACAGACCTAAAAGAAGTGTAAAACCACCTCTTAGATACAGTGATTCAGATTTTTATAAATAAATTTTAAAAAAAGAGAAAAGAGAAGATGTGCTGTTTGGTATTTTTATAATTGTTATCATGTGTTGCATATTTGATGTTTGTTTTGATTGTATTGTTGTTTTGAGCTTGAAGACTTTTGGGATCTTGGCTGATAAAGTATCTATGTTTAACTGTGGTGTGAGTTTTACCTTTCACTTCAATAACAGTTACTATACAAAAATAACGTAAAAGGTCATGTTAGCCCGAAGATAAGTCACAACTTCAGCCGGTTTATAAAAAAACTCAAAAGTATGTCGGAAGAAGCTGGGCTAGTACCAGTACTGAATAAATATTGCACGTTATTTTAACAGCATAATTTGTAATTTATGGAATATAATTAGTGAGAAGAATATTTATAAGATAAGGGATCCATAAACACAAACATAGTTTAAATACAACTAAAATTAACCCAGGAAACAAAATTTTTGTGTACAAATGGCTTGTAGCAGATGGAATATCTTAAATGTGGTTCATCAAAATTATTCCAGAGATGTAGAAAACAAAGGTAATTACTTAAACTTTTGTTCTGTCAAGCAGTAACATAACCAAATTCTTTCAAACAAACTTGCAAATACTTGGCTCTTATTACTTTGAACACTGGCCAAAACACAAGCCAAACTGTGCAAGGGAAATTGCACTTGTAAGTTGGCAATAGTTATTGAAAACAAAGTTGAAAACAAAACAAGTAATAAAGTAGAAGTATTTCTGAACCCAGTAGGAACTTACTAAATTAAGATACCCAACGTTCCCAGTTCATTTGTGCAATCCAAAGTGGGACTTTTCAATTTTCGAACCTTAAACTACCAGCTTTATCTAGGCTAATGTACATTTTTTGATTGGTCATTCCTTGGTGTTAAAATGATCCAAGTTTCCCTGAATACGTATGATTGTGTCTTTGGGGGAAAAAGTAAATTGAATTGAATTAGAAAATATCAATAAAATGTATTGAAGGCCTAGTTAGGTGCAAATTTTAATCCAAATATGAGGTAGTATGGGTGTACAATGGAGTGAGATGATCTGTGTAGCTTTTTACTGACTAAAATCAGCTGGTTCATTAGCCAGGATCATATTTAAAGCCCAATGATCAGGGACAGCTGGGTCAAGTTTCAAACCATCAAAAAGTAACTGACTGACTGCACCAGAATGTGTATAGTAAAATTAATTCGTATGACTTGAGCCAATAAAATTATATTTTTTTTTAGTACAGTTACAATGCATAAATTAACAGAAACATATATTTTAAAGTTTTCTTTTATGTTTGTTAGTTGTAAGCAAAAATATTAAGATAAAAAAAATTATTTCTTACTGAATTCAATTAATTTAATAAGCCTATTGCACCTTTTTCAATAGTAAATGACAAACAAATTAAGAGATAACATACGTCACAAAAATGTGTTATTTGACATCAAGTATACCAAACAAATTGTCAGTGCTAAGCTAAAATTTAATATCTAATGGTGATACATTTTACAGTTTACCACATGTTACTGACGTTTTCAATGATTAATTCATCACAGGCAATTAAGATAGCTTAATGTAAATTTGATAACAACTCCCAATCTCATTTAAAATATTCTGTACAAAATGAAATTATTTGGAAACAATAAAAAACATTTACATTCAGTCATTTTGCCTGGAAAACTTTTGTTCCTTCCTAACGCAATAATCTGTTAATTCGAGAAAATAGGTATTTTTTAAATGTATACATAGGCTGTTATTAGTTTTTTAGGCAAGATCATAAGCTGATTTTTAAATGACAATTGACATTTTAAAATTTATTTTGTAATTTTTCTAACCAAACAGTTAGTATCCCCTGAAAATATTTGGGCCTTAGAGATTGACAAAAAACAAAGAAATAAAAAACAAAGTTTTGGATTCTTGAAGAGTTTTTCTTCTAGGATGGATGCAATGGTACAGTATTATGTTTGTTCAATTAAATGAAATCTAAATATATAAAAGGCAAAGCCCTCACTGACTCACTCACTCACTCACTCATCACTAATTCTCCCACTTCCCATTTACCTAGGAGGCTGAAATTCGGTACACCGATTCTTTGGGCATTAAATAGGAATACTAAGTAGTTTTTATTCTGATCGGGCTTTCGGGCTCCACCCCAGTGGCTCTGGAGTTTCCCATGTTAACCTTATGAGTACTCATATTTAAATGGAATTAATGAATCTTATCAGCTGTTTCAATTAAACAAGTTGGTTCTGTTCTATGATGTTCAATAGCATTAAAGTTACAAGGATTACCAACAGGGTGCAGCACTATTATTTTTTTAAATTTATGACTACAGCCAATTTGCAACCATAAGGTGAGTGAGCGTAGCGAACGAACTTAAACCTGGAAGCGAGTTAGCGTAGCGAACGAGCTCCAACATAAAGGTGAGTGAGCGTAGCGAACGAACTTCAACCAGGATGTGATTGAGCCATGTGAACAGGCTCACTTGTGAAGTTAAACGGGGCAAAGCCCGCGGGTACAGCTAGTCTATATATAAAGCCAAAAGTACCCATGAGCTTTTGAGAAAACTACAAGTCACACCCCCATAAACCATACTTAAAATGTTCGTCATGACGAGAAACCTTGCGCAAAATTATCCATTATGTCATAAATTGCCCTTTAAGGTCGTAATTCCTTTCTAAAGGGAACTTTTCATATACCTAATGTTAAAAATACCTCAGCTGTACTTATTTGTTTGTTATTCTTTCAATTTATTACCTTATTAAAATCACGTGTGATTATTTGTTTCTTTTACTGTATTTTGTTTGTTTCAGGTTAACTTAACCAATCAATAGTTTTATTAACCCTCCGAGTGTTATTTGTCGCTGCAGCGACTCACAAACACTGTTTACGGCGAAGACTCTATGACTGACAAAATCGGATTGAACTGGATCGAGTTAGGTATCGTTTTATTTTACAGATTCAGAGCTTTCTCCGGAGGTCTGTCTCTAAGCGCTATTCATTTTAGTTCCAAAAATATTGTAGCAGACAGCTGCCGTGCGTATTTGTAAACAGCTTGGTTATCCTCGGACCGATGACTGATGTGTTTTATTACGTTTATCATTGTTTTAGTGTTAAAAATCAAAAGTAGTGATATACGTGGTGCATTATAAGAAGATTTAAGTGATTTTGAAGGGCTGGTTGATGATCCTGAAGAAGTAGGTAGTGATATTGATGTAAATTATCAGCCAGATTCCTAGCTATGGTTAGGCTATGCATTCTTATCTAAACGCTATGTACTGAAATCCGTTTTTTGCCCATAACTTATTTATTTGCAAATCTACTTCCTTATATTATTATATATTTGTAATCCTCATAAAATTTAGAACAAAGTGGCTATTTTCAAATATTCATAGGCCTATAATTTATACAATTTCATTAAGCGCAAACTTATTTTTTTTTTGAAAATTTTCCAAAATATTTCTTTTTTACCTAAAAATTTTTGTTGAAACAAATGTTCCTTATGTTCTATGTATAATATTGAAGCCCATGATTTTCCAAACAAAATGGTATATAGAACAGTATAATTAACATTGTTTTCAAGCTTCTCAGATCCGTTTTAATAAAACCTTGCAAATGAGCAAAAAATAGGCAGACATTAAGGCCAAAACAAGGGACACTCGGAGGGTTAATACTTATGATGTCAAACGGGGCGAAGCCCGTGGGTAACAGCTAGTTAGTCTTAAGTATTTAAGTGGAGGCATTTCTCCAGTACAAGGAAAATTGTTCTTGCCCGAACAATGTATACTTTTTATTGGTACCTAGAGCTTTGGAAAACTGTAATCATCACTACATGTTCACATTGGTAGCCTATATTATGATGAATTTCATTGTGTAAACTATTCACAAATCACAAAAATATCAAACCACCAACATCTCAAAAACTAACACACAAGACAATTCAAATGTCAAACAATCATTTTAAACCAAGTAACCAATACTAACCAATCCGAGATATTAGAGTTTAGGTACATAAAAATTAAATACGATTTAACCTCAATTACCTGCCACTCTTAACCATCAAATCTCTGTGATCCGTTACCTCAAGAATGAGCATTTTACTATTTGTATTGCGGAGCTTAACCTCCAATTTTTCCAATAATATACAATGTATATTTTAGCATTTACAGTAAATGATAATTATTATTTTGTAATTCACATGTACTATTCCTTTCAAAAGCATTGCAACTTTTCAAACTGTAGTCTAAAAGTAGTTTCTGCTAGTCTGCTAGTGTCTTCTATTCAGTTAACCGTCTCCGTGGTTAAGAGGTTTTACTCTACGTTTAAAAGACACTCACCCACTGATGATGATGTCGTTGTCGAACAAATAAAGTTTCATGTGTTGTAGTCCAACAAGCTCGTTGTATCGTGGGGGGAGGATGTAGCGCAATAAGCCGCGCAACTTAGGTGTGTGGAACAGCGAAACCTATTTTGAACATGTTGAATACAGGTTTAAGTGAATTAACTTACAAAAACATTTTTATAGTGATGATTTTTATGCATGTTTGAAAAAAAAATAGATACTTGCTAATGAGTATGCTCAAGATTTCTGTAGTTCTAGATTACCTACTGAAAATGTTGGATTATTAGTGCTGTTTTAAAACAGCCGTTGTTGAAAATAGAGCGTGGTGAAAATATCTATGAAATCAAAAGAAAAGCTACTAGGCAATTTTCCACTTTTTTACCAATAGTGGAGAACACCTGTCATTATCCGATGCCTTCCAAACTCTGGGTTATTTTGAGTACGTAAATAAACAAAACAAAAACCCCTAGCCCATAGCAGCGTTTTACTAACAACGTTGTTCCTTACCTTGGTTTAAAATTCATTAACTGAGGCTGTTACTCCCAACTATTCTATTTGTCAGTTATTTGACACAGGATGTACATCGGGTATGTATTTTAAGATTAATGTGAATGTGAGATGAGTCTAGAGTGGAGTTAGATGATCTGTGTTGCTTTGATACTGAATATCAGCTGCTTCTATAGCTACCATTTGTTAAAAGCCAACTGATCAGGGAGAGCCGGGTCCCAGTTTTGAAACATCAAATAGCTACTGAGATTCAGAATTGAGCTAGCCACATTCTGGGAAAAAATTCACATACTTTATTTGAAAGCAAACCCTGTTTTTTCCAGTATCCAAGTGTACGCTACTTTTTACCATGGATCTGCAAGTCTCGGATATTTTTGGGTCGAGTCAAGACAACAGTTTGCCCACTGTAGATGTTTTGATTTGTGATTGCAGATGATGCACACGGTCTCCCCATGACCGCAGAAAAAGTTAAATATTTTACCGTGAATGTAGATGTTTTCATTTTGGTACCTGCGGAGGTCGTTCAAGATTTTGTTACGACAGCAGACTAAAATCTGGTTTTCCCAAAACTCCCAAAATTTCTGGTCTATGATCACTTTGTATAAGGTATATTGTGTTATTTACAGCTGGATCAAACAAAAGCTAAGTGATGTAATGGTATTAAAATGGCCCTCTTCCTTTTAAATAATTAAACTCAACAAACCTGGCAGTGTGGGTGTGAGCGTAGCAACGGCAACAACATCGTCCGAGAGTTTGTCGCTCCTCTGGAACTTCTCATCGCGTCCAGTAGAATGTTGACGTTGAGTTCCTTACCCCTCTCCTTTAGTCTGACGTCAAGAGTATTCACCTACGCAGGCTAAAGCTTCAATGCTACTGTCTGTTTTTAAAGATTTAGAGACTTATGAGTTTAAGTTTAAGCAACTAGATGTTTTTTCTTATTTGAGATCAAATGCTTCTTTCTCACAATCCTCAGGTAACAAATAAATCATTTATAAATTTCATTTTATTTTTTATGGATTAAAAAATAATTTTAAAATATTGAGCAGAGTTTAGTGGCACAAAAAGTACTGTAATATTTTGGAAATTTTTTGGCTCTGTGGCATAATTTGTTAACTGACTTGTCTGTTAGGCTTAACTTATATGAATATATAGTCTAACATATATCGTAACTTAGTATATCGATATAAGTTAGACAATATATGTTGTTTAAGTGTAACATAATATATCGTACTGACGTTTTCCAGTAATGTAACCCTGCATTTCATGGAAATAAAAATTCTTGATTCTAACTCAAATATGTACGTATATTTCAACCAAGAGCATCAAATAGTCAAAATGTAATTATTGATAGGCTAATTAAAAATTAGAATAGGATAAATTTCCTTTTTTAACTTATAATTGCCATCTTAGCGGTTAAATTAACATGTCCAACACAATTCCTTAGCAAACATATAGGCCTATACTATTTTAAACAACACAGTCTTACCAACTGCTCTTCCATAGGTCCTGTGCCAAGGTAAAGGGACGTAAGGGCCACCCTTGTCTTGGCATTGCGGCATCGGTCCAACAGTGTTGTATAGAAATCTTCCGGCTTGAATAATACTGAAACCTTAAATAATACAAACACATCTAAGTTAGAAATTATTTTATAAGTGACAAAATTACTTAATGATTTGAATTATGGGTATCTCTGGTGAAAAAAATCAACAAACAGGACAAACAGGGAGCTCCTTAGTCTTCGTCTTTACTAAAAATACGGATCTAATGGCACATGTCATCTTATCAAATCAATGTTAAATTTGACTTAAGTGTAACCTTGTTTAACTCAGCTACCAATAAAAGTTTGCCTGGTTAATAATAAATTGTTTTGGGACTAAATATTAATTAGGGTACAATATACCAGTAGGCCTAATGTAACGAATGACTTAACTGATACAATATGTTGGCTAAGTTAAGTTAAATAGGCATGTGACGAACATAAACAGGTGGTAACTGTTAAAAATATGAATAGGTAGCTTTGAACATTGGGCATAAACTTCTTAAGTATAAAAGGATGAAAGATCAATCAAGTGATAGTTGATTCATTAGGTCATGGACATAATCAGCAACATGGTTTATCTGGCTGGGGTGCTGGGCCTAAGATGGCTTGTGTTTCTTCATAAAAGATCAAAGGAAAATGACTAGAGGTTAGGGATGGCCGATTGTCGATTGTACAATTGATAGTATCGATTGTTTAATTGATTGTATGCCGGCGGCACGACGCCGTGGTTGGGCAGGGGGACGAATACTAGAAAAGACTCGGTATGGATTAAAAAAAATAAGCAAATTACGTTTATGGCCCGAAAGTAAACAAAACCATATGTTAATTAATGCTATGGGTTTTGTTTGTAACCTTCGGGCCAAAAACGTCATATGTTTATGTTTATGATCCATACCGGTATTTTTCTAGTATTCTTGGGCGAGGGTGTTGGTGTTCCTGTTGGGAAGGTCTCATTCCCTAACCTAACATAGTTGCGTTGTTCTTTCTGTAGTCGTTAACTATCCACCCAGTACCCCAGTACCTAACCTACACTGTGATATTATTTGTGCCGGTACTTTCCTGTTAAAGGGAACATTAATTATTATCGATGATTTATTTTCGATATATCGATATTTTTGTTTTACTTCACGATTGGTATTCCTTCTGTTTTAATATCTTCAAACGCATTTAAATTACAAATTAAGAACTAACCTTGTCTAGGCACCTATGGATTAGGACATGAAACTATTCTAAACTAACCTAATATAACTAACCAAACTTGCTGTATAGGCTAAGTTACCGTTTCAAAATTCCATTTTATAACAGAAGAGAAAAGGCATACGGGGAATAGGCTATCACACAGATTTTTGAAATGTTACAGCAAGTTTGGTTGGTTAGGTTAGTTTAGAACAGTTTCATTTCAATATAGGCTAATATTTTTTTTTATTGTTTGTTGATACTGAACAATATTTATTTACTGTATCCTATATCGTACTTGTCAGCTGATATCTTTCAATTTGTTACTATCAATATATCGGATGGAAAACAAAACTATCGATATATCGAAAATAAATCATCGATATTAATGAATGTTCCCTTTAACAGGAAAGTACCTTTGTGCCTTAGTGCTAGATATTAATTAGGTAATATGTAAAGTATTATTTTTAGGAATAGTGAGAGAATTATTAGTGTTAGCTAATTTATTAGCTAGACAAAATGAGTAAGAAGACTAAAAAAGTGGTTCTTTTCTTACACAAAGCGACAAAGCATTTGTCATTTTTATTTCTATAATGCTGATTTTTAAAACATTAATAACCTACACGAAAATGTTTTTACCATAGGGCTAACTTAACACGTTCGCTGCTACAGACGTTCCAGAACGTTAGCCGGGCCACGGCGCCAGAAGCTAGGAATGTCACCATTCATTGTTGTTTAACGTTGCTATGGATAAGCCAGCTCGCCACAAGCATCCTATATTTCTTTGCAGCTGGTGGGGACGTACTTTTCTGACAATAAAAAATATAGTTTCCCAAAATCACCACCAGGGTCGTTTGGAACAGGGCTTTGTTTCACCTCTTTCCTGCTAGATAGCGACACTGCTTTACCGACTGTAACCTGGGTAGTGCTGCCATCTATCAGAATCACTTGGTACTATGTCCAAAGCCAGTTTTATTGCAGAACATTGCCATCCAGTATAACCACTGTTGTTTTTACTGTAATTCAGTGTATTGGCGACAATGTCACGCAGCGGCCGAGCGTAAGTTCAGCTCCTAGGGCGGTCCCGGCATCTAGCGGTCAGCAGCGAACGTGTTAATACATATTTATAAACAATGTTATTACTAAGCATTTGTTTCATTCATGCAATTTCCTTAATTTAAGTTTGATTTTAAAGTAGTACCATTGAGTTTAAGTTAGACATATAGGTACACGTGAGTATACTATACTCAATGGTAGTACAGTACTTAAAATGGCGATTATCTATCGATACTATCGATTGTTATGCTCAATACTATCGGGACAATCGATTGTAAGGGACTATCGACAGTCGGCCACCCCAACTAAGTTTAGAGGTTACTGAATCCAAAATTATATATCTCACCTGATCCCCTTTCAGGGAGAATCCCACAGCAACACTGTGAAGCCAGCTTAAATAAGGAGGCAAGCTTAAGATATTGTTTGGTCTGGATTGAGCTTCTAATGATTTTTCCAGAGCAGTCACTATCTGTCTCATTGTTAATCGTTACAATATTTATTACATTTGATAATAAAGTAATAAAATTAATCAGTCTATTTTATTGTGTTATCTGACTGCTACGTAAACATAACCTCTTCATGCAGTCGAAAGACTTATTCCAGAAGGCAAACTAAAATCAACAGAATTTAAAGTAAAAATTTAAAATTAAATTATTTGTTCTCTACACTTTTGTAGAGTACAATTCGATCGTCTGCGTTTGCTTCAGGTACAGATTGTTCCATGACACTGTCACTGTCTTCGCAGTCACTTTGATTGCTTTGATCTTCAAATAATAAAAATATTCAAAATTGAACTTAATAATGACAGGCAACACGATCACACACAGACACAGCAGACAACTAACTGAAACTGAGAGCCTGAGGAGAGAGAAGCAGAAGCAGAAGAGAACGGTGAGCACTTTTTCACCTCAAATTAGTTGACGAATATCGAAACTGGAAAGTCGATACTTTTACCGCTCGATTGGCTCGATTGTTGTAGAGTAATCGAATAGGAATCTGAGTAAATTTTATTGGTTTGACTGAGACTGACTTAAAGCACGATTACTAGAAAAATACCAGTATGGATCATAAACATCAAAAAATGACGTTTTTGGCCCGAAAATAAACATGATTTATCATTGCTTAGATGGAACTAAAAGAGACCCCTTGAGCTGAATAAAATGATACTAAATAACTAAATAAGTTACTGTTACATTCAATTCAATACTCTCTTGAGTACTATAATCATATCGACCTCCAGACAAAAAATAAGATTAATGAAGGAATCAGGAATAAAATTTCTAATAACTGTAAGCAAGGTCATAATTTTGGCAAATATTTAATTCATCAATAAGCTTTAAAATTATTAGTCTTAAGCAAGGAAAAGAGTAAATTACACTCCCTCTCAGGAAGGAGGCATTTTGCATTTTTTACAAGAGCTGGGTTGATACTAACAATAATAATACAAATTATGTAATAGAAATGGCCTCTGATGATATTCAGTTTTGATTAAAACTAATTCTGGTCCCGTGATGAACATAACCTTAGCAATAATCTTTTCAACTGTTGACATTGAATTTTATTCCCATAACTATCTACTTATGAATAGAAACAGAAGAAGAATTTGTTCGTAAGTTATTAACAAATTTATGTATTCTCTTAAAAAATTGACATTACGTCCCTAGGCGCTACAATTATGTTCTCTCCTTTCTTTAATGATCTACCATTATTAAATTCAAACTGTTAAGTTAAGTCACAACACAAGTCAAAGGCAAAGGAGAACGGGAATGTACAATGGATGGAGTGGGAGTGGACTATCGATATCGCGATGTACTAAATTCTAAAAACAGTCGAGCTGTAAAAGTATCGATTTTCCAGTTTCGATATTCGTCAACTAATTTGAGGTGAATAAGTGCTCACCGAAGAGAACACTACTCCACGGTAGATATTTCTTTCAACTCCACTGCTACCAACATAAAAGGTTTCATTGATTAAAGGCTATATGCGTTGATTATTAAACAAAAGAGAAATATTGCTGTTAATAGTCAATGCTTTAATCTGCTTGGACTATGTTCAAATAAACTGTAAAGTCTGCATTTTAAAATGTGCTTTTTCTTGATTGACAACAATACTTTAAATGGAAATTCAAACAAATTTAGGAGAAAAAATGAGATTTTCTCATTTTTTACCCCTAAAGCACAAAATTTATCAATTTTTCTCCAGACCTTTTTAAAGAGCTTAAAAATTATTGTAGTATATCAAAGTGTTTTGTATTGTGATTGGTTACGGAGAAAATTTAAAATAGCCCCGCCGCAGCAAACCTGCTGACTAAGCGAATTTCCATTTGTCGGAATTGATTTTCAATTAAATCTATTTAAATAACATTAGGTTTAACAAGTCCCTAGGTTTGCTGCTACAAGGAAACTGTTAAAAAGTGGGGTTTTTAGTAAAATATTAATAGCTTAGTACAGAATGAATAAATTTGCCAAGTTTTATCAAAATATATCCATAAACAAGCAAACTACAACGTTTTACAATATTCTCCATAAGAATAACATGGGAATTTTAAAATAACAATTTTTTGAATTTTCTCCGTAACCAATAATTGTACAAAAACACTTTGACATACTGAATTATTTTTTTAAGCTCTTTAAAAAGGTCTAGAGATAAATTGGGATATTTTGTGTTTTGAGGGTCAAAAATGAGAAACCCCATTTTTTACCCCATAAAACCCCCCGTAAAACCCCGTTCCCATGATCCGATCATGCTGGTTCGCAAACTCATTCAAGTTTATCCCGCCTTACACCTTTCAACCAAATTTCATCAAAATCGGACAAAAATTACTCACGTTATCGCGTTCACAGACGTATATATTAATATATAAAAATTTGAACGAATGGTGTTTTTGGCCTCTGGGGACATCAAAATGAAAAAAGTAAATCGGTCCCGGGCCTAGGTCTTATCATGCCACCTACGGTAATTTCCCTATAGGGAAATTCGCTAAAATTGTTAATTATTTGAAATGCCCATGTTATTTTTCGTGGGGTCCCAGTTTATCGACATCCCAAAAGATCGACACTGAAATAGTCCCACTTTGTCGACAACTCAAAATGTCGACAGTGTCGGTAATATGGGATGTCTGTAAAGTGGGATGTCGGTTATGTGGGATGTCTGTTATGTGGGACGGTTGTGTAAATTTTCCCACTTTATCGACACGCAAAATGTCGACAAGCAAAACAGATCGAAAAAGAGCGGGAGATTCAAATTGAAGGTGAACAGCTCTTGCTGAACAGATCAGTTGAGTATAATGAGAGTCGTTCTTTTTTTTAACTCCGAACGACTTATATTCACGACGCTTGCAGTCTCCTTCAAATTTGTCAATGCTATATCAACTATCTTGTGTATATAATATGTGTTCTGCCGTTTGAAGGCTTTACAATAATTTGACATTTGTTACACTTGTATTATGATTCGTTATACTGTTTTTTTTTTCGTGTAAGAAGGTACCTAGTTAAAACTTTCTACCTAGGCCAAACTTAGCTTGAGGATGAATATGGTATCCATCTAAAGTGTTTTCAATCATAAATTTATTTGAAATATACAGGTGTTCATTTGAAAACTTTCCATATCTCTTGTGTGCAAAGGTAAGGCGTTTAACACTTGTTTGTTCTCATTTCCCCCTAATTTGGACATGCAAAATCCAATAAAATAATTTTTAATTTTGAAAAATGCCCCAAAAGGGCCCAATTTGGGGGGTAGGGGTGCTTTTTGAGAAATTTTCAAATATAAACATGGGTTGTGTGATACATCAATTTAAAGGTCTAATCACCCCGATCATTTTTGTGCAAACAAATTTAATTATCTTTAACCGTATTTACAGGGTGGATCAAAACGTTTTACAAAAGGACTATGAAGTTAACTACCGTAATACCCTAACTACTGAACGGAACAGCGCCAAATTTCTTTCCAATCTTATTCATGAGCTACTCTTTAAGATAACTTGTAGTAAGGGCATTTTCCATGTTATTTTCTAATTATAAAAAAAATCTCGAATTTGAAGAATAAAAGAAAGCTGAAAACTCAAAACTGTTAAATAGCAAGCTAGGCCTATAACAAATCTTCTTTATATATACTGTAATATCCAATGTATGTTTGTTTGTATGTATGTATGTTTGTTTGTCCTTTGTGGACTCCGAAACCGATCGACAGATTGTAATGAAACTTTCAGTTATTATTAAGCATTATTCAAGGATGGTTTGTGTGAAGTTTGGTGTAGATCCGTCAAAAGGGCTCCGCCCCAGTGGCTCTGGAGTTTCCCACGTTAACCTTATGAGTACTCATATTTAAATGGAATTAAAGATTCTTAACAGCTGGTTCAACTAAAGAATTTAGTTCTATGATGTTCAATAGCATTAAGAAATTAATAGGTTTACCAACAGGGTGCAGCACTATTATTTTTTTTCAATTTATGACAACAGCTAATTTGCAACCAAAAGGTGAGTGAGCGTAGCGAACGAACTTCAACCAAGACGTGATTGAGCCATGCGAACATGCTCATCTTGAAAATGAACGAACATTTGACATAAAACCACATTAGGACAGGACGACGTCTGTCGGGCCAACTAGAAATATATAAAAGAAAGTTGTGTTAGTTACAGCGTTTATAACTAGAAAACTACTGGACCAATTGGCATGAAAATTTACAGGGATATTCCTTAGGTACTAGAATAACATAATAGCCTGTTTCCGTTTCAAAAACCCTTAAGGGTAGCGTCCTAAGGCCCTTTGCAGTTTACATGTTAATCTTATGGAAGAATGTTTTATTTTGTTTACTATGCCATGTTTGTCATTTCTTGATTAAATTAAATTAAGGAAACAGCTGTTGTAATGATAACCTAACTTTTAAAAACAAATCTATGCATAAAAAATGAGAGCTATCAAATAGGTTTCTATTCCATTTGTTTTTTACGAATATTTGTTGTCAAATGTAACATAAAATATTACATTATGTTGTTCAATATTACATGTTGTACCTTGGAGGCAATTCTGGAAGCAACCACCCCCTTCATACATTGCAATGTAATTACTAACGTTGATTGTTATAACTCTTATAAGCCTTGACTGAGCTCCAATATTCGCTTAAAAAGTGGAGGATAAAAGTCAACGAAAACAAGTCCAAACATATTGTTTTTACTCTGAGAACAGAGTACAATCCTCCAGTAACCATTAATAATATGTAGCCTTAACGGAGGCAGACAGTGTAAAATATTTAGGTCTAACTCTTGACAAAAAATTAAATTGGAAATCTCATATCTGGTGCAAGAGACAGCAAATGGAATTAAAAATTTGTAAACTCAATTGGCTACTAACTAGGTACGAATTCAAAATTATCATTGGCTAAGAAAATTTTACTGTATAAAATTATGATCAAACCAATTTGGACATACGGAATTCAACTTTGGGGGACCTCGAGCAAATCCAACATCGAAATTCTTGAACGATTTCAGGCTAAGACGCTGAGAAGAATTGGCGCACCTTGGTTCGTATCCAACACTACAATTAGGAATGAATTCAAAATTAAATCAGTGAAAGAAGAAATTACAGACCTTAGCAAAAAGTATCAAGAAAAATTAGAATATCATCCGAACAGTCTTGCTGTTAATCTGCTGGACAATAGTCAGTGCATTACCAGATTAAAAAGTGTTATGCATGTGCTGGACCTAAGCTACAGATTTCTGTAAATATTTATGATTGATCCAATTTTTGGCAA